TCAGCAAACCCATTGCACCTTCATCTTTTTGTAGGTCCACACACTCTCATCCCTCGCTCCAGTCCAACCAGCCCTACTGGGCAACTTATTTATCCCCATCCTCAGCATTCAGTGCTGTCAGGAATTTCTCCGTTGAGCCTATCAAAATCCACTCACTGCAACTGAGCACCTGGGGCATGCCAACAGCCACAGACTAGAGCTTTGTCTGCTTTATCACACTGAAGTTTCACCTGCTTTGATTCCCTACAGGATTATTTACTAATTAAAGAGCAACTGCAAGGTTAATTTGATGGCTAACAGCACCCATTGCTGTGAAGTAACTTGGTTTAGTTTAGACACACCCAACTGTAATTAATAGCTCCTAGGCTTTGCTCTGCCATGCTCTACCCTGTGTCATCTGAAGCCTTTCCCCATTTCTTACGCATAGCACTTACTTACTTGTAGGTGTCTCTGTTCACTGCAGGGGAGTTGGACTAGAGGACCTTCAAGGGTCCCCCCGGCTCCAATGATTCTACAGTTCTACAATTCTATGATCCTACTTGGGTTGATGGTTGGAGAGGATGATGTCTTTCCAATCTTAATGATTCTACCGTTCTATAATTCATCTCTCCTTGGGTGGAATCCCTGTGTCCTCTTTGGGTTTCCAGACCAGAAATTATGGAATGTAGCTACAGAATCCTCGACTGATTTGAATTGGAAGAGGCCTTCAAGATTGTCTACTTTCAGCACTGCCATGAGCAGGGACACCTCCCCCTAGGTCAAGTTCTGTGTTGGTTGCTCTTTCCTTAAGCTACACTTTTACCCAGGTGTTTCGAAGGGCAGTTCAGAGAAAAAGAAGTAAAATAACACTTCGTGTCTTACTGAGATTTTGAAGGAGGTTGGGAAGGAACAAAGCACTACTTGGCACGTAACCACATGGGTTCTGCTCCTTCCCAGCCACACGAGAGTCTGCGTTTGTCCACGCCATCGCGTCAGCCGGCGTTGCCTTTGCTGTGACCCGCTCCTGCGCCGAGGGCACCTCCACCATCTGCGGCTGCGACTCCCACCACAAAGGGCCTCCAGGAGAGGGCTGGAAATGGGGTGGATGCAGCGAGGATGCTGACTTCGGGGTGTTGGTGTCACGGGAATTTGCAGATGCTCGAGAGAATCGTCCGGATGCGCGCTCAGCCATGAACAGGCACAACAACGAGGCTGGGAGGACGGTGAGTGCTCCACAGGCACCAAGCTGCATGGGCAGCCCATGAACCAGCTTCAATGAGGCCCTGATGCACAGAACCTGGTCTGTGGGAGCTCCAGAGGTCCCTTCCAACCCTTAAAATTCTGTGGATAGATACACAGGTGATTAGAGCAGCTCTCCATCACAGATATCCAGTGAAATGTACCCCAACAGAGGTGTTTATGCCTCCCACCAAAGCTCCCACTCACAACCGTAATCAGGATCAGGATGTATTAGGAAATATTTCTTCTCATTGGCAGAGCTGCACAGGGAGGTGTGGAGTCACTGCCCCTGAAGGTGCTCAAGAGATGTGGGGATGTGGCACTGAGGGAGGTGGGCAGTGGGCACAGTGGGGGTGGGCAGGGTTGGGTTTGTGGATCTTGGAGATCTTTTCCAGCCTTAATGATTCCATGCACTAGGCTACGCTTTCCAGACAAAGCTCAGCTCAGATGTCTGAATCCAGTTGAAAAAGACTTGGGATCATAGAACCATTAAGGTTGTGGAAAGGGCCACTAAGACTGCCTAGTCTAACTGCCTACCACCAACGCTGCCCACTGAGCCGTATCTGTTAGGCACCCATCTTCACAGCTCTTTAACACTTCCAGGGACGGTGACTCCACCACCTCTTGGGCAGCCTGCGTCAATGCATCACCACTCTTTTGGAGAGTTTTCTCCTAAAATTGAGCAGGAACCTCCCCTGGCACAATTTGAGGCCATTCCCCCTCGTCCTTTTGCTGTTACCTGGAGCAGAGGCCAACCTCACCCCGCCACAGCTTCCCTTCAGGCAGCTGTAGAGGGCAATGAGCTCCTCCATGTAATTATGAATGAAAACATCAACTAACCAATAGATGCAGCTATTCACAGAGCAGTACTACTTCACACATGCAAAGACTGAGCAATCTAGCCCTATCTAACGACTATTTCACTCCAGCATTAAAGTAAGGAAAGCCATTAAAAAAAGCCATCATTTCTTAACCCATTTTGTGTCAGCTGAGACTCTAGGGTGGGACACGAATAGCTGCCTTCCTAGATAAACTAATGATACCTTTCAGGGGAGGCTGGGGAAAAAGAAGGTAATTGCTATATTTTAGGCTTGGACAACCAGTTAGTCTCAAATATTCTGTGTAATCTGTACCAATAAAGAGGAGGAGAAACACTTTCTGCCCTTAAGGTTTATCTGGCACGTCGTGGTGTCAAGTGCCCACTGTAGGATCCCAGTTAACCTTTTAAAATAAAGAGAACCCAAGGCGCACAATCCCCCATTGACTGGTTTTTCTCTCCTGGGCAGACCATTCTGGACCACATGCACCTGAAGTGCAAATGCCACGGGCTGTCGGGAAGCTGCGAAGTCAAGACTTGCTGGTGGGCACAGCCCGACTTTCGGGCGATCGGCGATTACCTGAAGGATAAATACGACAGCGCCTCCGAGATGGTGGTGGAGAAGCACAGGGAATCCCGGGGTTGGGTAGAGACTCTTCGGGCTAAGTATGCTCTTTTCAAGCCACCAACAGAGCGGGATTTGGTTTACTACGAGAACTCCCCGAATTTTTGTGAGCCCAACCCAGAGACGGGCTCCTTCGGGACGAGGGACAGAACATGCAACGTCACCTCCCATGGGATCGATGGCTGCGACCTGCTGTGCTGCGGCCGGGGCCACAACACCAGGACTGAAAAGAGGAAGGAGAAGTGCCACTGCATCTTCCACTGGTGCTGCTACGTGAGCTGCCAGGAGTGCATACGTGTCTACGACGTCCATACCTGCAAGTAAATGCTGTAGGTCTCCAGCTGCTGGGAGGCTGATCCAGAGCAGGGCACGGGGCTCCCAGCCCCAGCACGGTGGCCTCACACTTCAGAGGATGGCATAAAGAAATCCGAGTGCTCTTGGCCCCACCAGCGCTCCTTGGCCACATCCCTCCAAGCTCGGGGCCGCGTTAACGTGGTGTATTGACCCTTCCTGGCGGCTCCTCCACAGCAAGGACAACACAACAGATTCCAGTGCCAATTATCACGTGCCAGTGGTTTGACAGAAGTTGCAAAAAAACGTCTAAAACGTCGAAGCTGCATTTTCTACTCATTCATTTCTTTGCCCGTGGGAAAGAGAAGCACGTTCTCCTGAAAGAGCAATAAAATGGGTGAAAGACCCCTCGTACAGGGAGCACAATACTCAAACCCATGTCTGGAGTGAACCAGACCAAAATTCACAGCCCCTCTTCTGCAGAGCACAGCAAGCAGCTACCGGATTTGAAAGCATTTGTTTTGTAAAACAAAGACCACAGGAGAGCTCTACGAAACCTCCACGTCTCAGCAATCAGCCATCTGATCTGCATCCTATTTAACGTATATATTAAAACTCTGTGTCTGGAAAGAGTCCAAGTACCTGACTTTCAACAAAATTCCTTTTGTTCTTTTTTTTTTTTTTTTTTGTCGTTTCATTGTTCTTTTTGTTTTTAATCAAGAAAAGGTATTTAATATTAAATAGAACATTTATTGCCTTGTAATTATTTTACCGTAGTCAGGTATTCTAGCACTGAATGGAAGATCTTTTTCCATCAATCTGCTGTATCCAAAGTTTTGTATAAAGTTGTAGAAGTTGATTGTTTTTTTATTTTATATTCAGAAAATTTCTCTTTTTATAAGCATTATTTATTATACAATGTATATACTTGAGTTAACTAAGATTATATATTATATAAATATATATATTTGGAGAAAAATATATTTCAACTTGCATTTTTTTGTGGTACGTCATTAAAAAGAAGGTAAAAAAAAACAAAAACAAAAACTTGCATTTCCCAGAGTGTGTCATTTGCCTCAAAATCCTTTAAGTTCTGCTGAATGATATCTATGGGAATGGTGGCTCTTCTCCATTACGCTCAGTGACAGTCACACAAAAGACAGTGATGGTAAAAAGCAGCCCATACATGAGGTTATCAACAAAAATCTCAGCAGTGAGCCATAGAGTGCCACCTCACAGTGTGCATACACCACGAGTTTAATCTGGATCCCACACATCTTTTTACTCCCAGAAAAGCTACCCCAGGAAAGCTACTTTCAAACAGGATAAGGAAAGGGATGAAGAATCTGGCCAATACAGCTCAATGCAATCCAGTTTTCACTACAAAACCACCCCTGCCCAGGCACAGCAAGTCATTCTCTTTCGCCACCTGCAGGAAACTCCTTGAATGGAGGCTCACGGAAGAGGTTGAACCCATCATTTTGCTCAGGTTTTCCAACTTGGACTTCTTGAGGAGTGATGCAGCACCCATTCACACACACACACACACAACTGAGGCTTCCCAGGCAGTGCCATAAAGCTGGAATGGACTGGGTGGGCTACAATGGCCTTCCTGGCCAGCTCTAGCACTACCTGTGGTCTACCTGTGGTCAAGCTATCCAGATTTTGGGATCTATTTGTCCCATTCATGTTCAGTACAAACTGTCTAGCATCTCTCTGGCTACCAAGCAGCCTGGGAATCACTTTCCTATCTTAGAATCTTAGAACATTAAGGTGGGAAAAGGCCACTAAGAACAAGTTCAACCACTGAACTGTTACCACCATGCCCACTAACCCATGTCCCTAAATAGACTGACCCCATCTTGCTACAGCCTTTCTCCTTTACGCAAGGGAGATAAGCAACTCACCTTCAAGCACTCTAGACAGACAGCTCTGTTTGACTAACATCAAAGACACAGATGTCTCCCAGTTGTGCTTTTTTATTGAATCCATTAATGTGCAATTGAACAAGATATTTATTCATCAATATAGCTCTGGACATAGACACAATAAGGTTTACATCATTTACTCTGAAATAAGTTAACGAGTGTTGCTGTCACAAGGACTGGCAGAGGAAAGAATGGAACAAACAAAGTCACAAGATCATACACAAAATGAGAGGGAATAATAACCACTGGGACTCGCAATGTCATCACAATACAACAGCACTGCCAAAGGAAAAGAAACCAGAGTGCAGTGACTAAAACACTCTGATTGCCCTAAGTACGCAATAAGGACTGCAGTACCTTCACCTTTGGGCCTGAAAATATGCAAAGCACCCTCCTTCCCTGGGAACACCTCACTGGATACAAGCTGCTAGCCCTTAACAGCATGTCCTGTCAAGTCAAGGAAGCTATACTGACTAACACCTCATAAATGGCTTTGATTCCATGCCCCACCAAATTGAGGTACGTTCCATGAACCTTATTAAACATGTGGAGCCAAGGAACCAGAGGGGAGTATCCTCCTGCAGTCATCATAACAGCACCTCATTGATGCAAAGTGACTATTGGGGAAAGACCACATAGCAAAGTTCAATACATTCCTTAGTTTGAGTGCAAAAACATGGCAGTGCACACCTCGTGCATCCACAGAGCTTGGCTTCATCTCCAAGGAGGAATTTCATCCTTTGGTAATGTGGCAGAAAAATAGGATGTAGTGAGGCCAACTAATGCCAAAACCGTCATATACAGCGTACTAATGCAGAGCTTTCAGGCTGGAATCAGCACCACTAAGCCTGTTTTTGAATTAAGAACAAGTTTCAAATACTGGATTCCGAAGTTTTTTCCTCTGTTCTGATCAACAAACTTCCCTGCCTTCTTCCAGTCCTTATTATCATTAGCCAGAAAATACCTGGGCATAAAAGAAAATGGGTATCTGCATTTTGGAAATCCTGGAGTTTCATTGCTGTGGTCACTGACTCTGGGTTAGCAGCCCTGCTCAGTGTTCAGTGAGGCATAGGATGACATAACCGAACAAGAAAGCATTCATCAAATCAGAACACAGAGGAGTACTTTAATAAGCCTTCACCACAGGATTTACTAGAAGTCACATTTTCTTTCCTACTGTAGTAACTGGATGCTGGACATAAGTGAGCATTAGCTTCAAAACTTACAGAACATTTCCCCCATGCTAAAATCAAATAAGAATGCAGCCTCGCCTGCACAGAGACAGAAGCACAGTGTTCTAGAAGACACTTCCACATGATATCTGTATATTAAAGACAAAGAATAAAGATACTGTATTGCACTAAACATGCAAATTCCACATTGGGTTCTTGGAAAAAGGGGAGCATTTCACTTTGTCCAGTGTGTTGAACACAGAAGAGTAAGGATCCCAGTGTGTATTCTCCAGGTTGGTCACTTTTCCAGCTGCTGATCTTGCACTTGGTCCACCTTCAGTCTAGGGAACTCTTGGAAAAGAAACCAAATCCATTAAAAAGCATGCATAGGTATGAAAGCATCAAGCACACACAGGGACCCACACAAAGGCAGGCAGGACAAGCACTGCTGCCCAACGTGCATTAGAAAGTCATCTTCTAGCAGATGCCACTGTGCTCAACTATTCCCTGTGATACCTACAGAGGAAAGGGCAGGGCATCCTTCTCTTAGACAGGGAAAAAAAAAAAAGAAATCAACGTTCCACTCTTTACGTAAATAAATGGATTTCAGCTCTAGCAGACTCACTTTTCATTTAACTTCAGCTGTGGTCCAACATCTGAGAACTCAGGCATGCAGGTTCTCAAAGTCTTCAAGAACTTCCCCCACCCATAACCTGCATGGAAAACTCATCTGAAAACCCCTGTGTACAGGAGGGGTCAACAATGACACCAAATACACCCTCATGCAGGTTCCCCTTATGGAAGCAGCAGCCTTATTTCTGACCAGAGAACAGAATTTTAACCAATGCTTTAAAATAAGAGTACTTACGTTCCTTCTTCTCTCAGAAGAGCCAAGAATTTTTTCACCCGATACTCAGGATCCATCTAAACACAAACAAAACAGGTCTTCTTTAGTACATGATGCAGCCTCCCAGGTAGCACAATATGAAAATAATGCCACAAACTGGAAGTTTGGTTCTCTGAGTATCTCTGTTGTTCTGCAAGAAGTCATTTGGTCCAGAAACTCCATGTTCTGATTCTATTTGTACATTTTGTTTGTATCTTCAGCAACCCGTTGTATCTTTAATACATTGCTGACAATACAGTGGTTTCATCCTGAAAGCAGTTAATGGCACTATGAAGTTGACTAGTAACATTCCAATCCTTCTATCCACTTGGTGACAAACAAGCAGGTGGCTCTGCTAGAAGGTAGAACTGGGACTTACCCCAGGGTGAATAAATCCTAAAACAACAGCAGCACTACCAGTGATGCAGGCAGGAAAGAAACAGCTGAGAATTTGTGCTAAGGAAAGCTAAAATTGTGCAACTTCCTATCATGTTAGAACATCTCAGAAGGGTCAATATCTCAATAATAACTGCTGATTTATTATAAAACACTGAAAAAAAGATGATTTGAAGGAACTCAGGATCAATGAGCTATGATGATGAGTTCTTAACATGCAATGGAATACTGGTACTGTTCAGGGTTCTGTAAGAAATGAAAGGCAACATAACTACCTGGAGCAGTGCCTGAAATGTGTAATACACACTGGAGAGAGTTTAAAGGGCCACAAAGATGACTTGAGCATCTGTCATCCAAGGAGAAGCCATGGGAACAAGGAGAAAGAAAGACCCAGCACTGGGATCCTGAAGGTGAATGCTTTCAAAGTGTATAAAAACAAGTAGTGAGGAAGTAAAGAAAAAAAGAGGATCTTCTTAGTGGTGCCTACTGACAGAACAAGATGTCAGAGGCACAAACTGAAATACAGAAAATTACAAGTAAATGTAAGAGAAAGTTTTTTTCTTTTAGGGTGATCCAACAGTGTTAGGTACAGCCCAGAGAGGCTACAGAGCATCGATCCTTGGAGATATTCAAGACCCAAATGGATTTGAGAGAAAGGACAAAATACATCTGATCTTTGACCATGAGTAGCAAAGTGCAACTGAGAGGAATCCCTGATCCTGTCAGGTAAGACCTACAACGTTTTTGTAGATATTGGCTGTAAAGATGTCTACTTCTGAAAGGACTTCAGAGAAGTAACTCAAGAGCAGCACACCAAGACCTCAGACTTGACTTCTCACTTATGATCCAAACTCAGAGATGGATTATCCATGAGAAAACTAAAACAGATGGACAAATGAACGCTAGGAAGCAGACAATGCTAGAAATACTTCAAAATAATAATAATAATAATTTTGCATTCGTATTGGAGCCAGAAGAGCCTGGTTCCCATAGAACACTGATGCCACAGAGGATGGTGAGATGTCTGTTATCATCAACATATACAATCTCTGAAGGTCTAAATTCAGTGTTGACCCTGCTTTCATCTTGATAGCTGTATTAGGTGGTATCTTGAAGTCCTTTCCAAGCAGAATGATTCTGGGATTGGAAGATTTTCAGTACTCTACAAATAAAGCCGATCAGAGAACTGCAGTTTTGACAACTGGAGGAACAGCAACTCTCTACTTAGACACCTGCACTCCAAAGAGAAGCCCTGCTGAGGATCAAAGGCAACATCCATACAACCATCACCAATGTTTACACTGCTGGGCATGCCAGTGCCCAACAGTCAAAAGCACAAAACAGGAGTGTAGAGCCAAGAAGCCAAAAAAACAACCCATTTACTGAGTGAAGCAAGAATCTTTCACATTTGCAATTAATCCAAGGAACCACGAACACTGGGATGATGCAAGACATGGTTTCTAACCACCAACAGAAAGTGCAAAGCTGGGAGAAAACATCTCAAACGGAACAGTCAAAGGGCCTGGCTCTTTCCAAGACTACTTATCTCGACGACTTGCAGAGGGTATTATCTACCTGCCAAGAGCATTACGTACTTGCAAAGAAGATGGTCCTGTTGCCAGGACCTCAGTGCAACTTCAGGGTAGCACAGAAAAGTCAGATGAACACTCAAAACTCATCACAACCTCAATATGACAACAAAGGAGCTGTGAATCTCTTCTTTAGCAGGAAATGTGCACTAAGGCAATCAGCTGACATTCACGCTTGCCAATGCCAGTATTCCATTTTCTAAATCAAAGATGCTGGCCCTTCCCAATTCTTTTTGCTTAGACACAAGAAAGTGGCACTGGTAAAACTGCCCATCATCCATAGTGACACAGCTTCTACAGAGTCTTTTAGGAGGAACAGCAGGTACCTGCAATTTCTTAGCCAAAAGATTAAAGCAAATAGTTTATTCACAAAATGTGGATGAAAAAGGAGAAGGCTGATCTGGTCTGAAAGAAGAGTGCAAAGGAGAAACAGATTCAGGACTCTTGAGTAAAACTTCAGGCAATCTGTGAAAGGAGAAATGTTTCTATCAAACTAGGTGAGAGACTTTCTAAGAGAACAGACCTGAGAACAATTCTGTGACACAGTTCCCACCACCAGGAAGAAATTGGCTGTTTCTCTCTACATAAGGCAGTACCAGCCCCAGGACAAGCCTGGGAGTCCTTAGGAGAAAAAGGAACTTCAGTCCAGAGAAGAGAGAACCCAGCAAGACGTGCATGTCCTTGGATACTCCTGTAAACCTATCATAAAACCTAAACTCTGGGTGTATTACTTAGTATAATATACACAGTATTTTAAGACGACTCTTAAAATAAATTCCCTAGTATGTTAAAATAATCAAAGCTGTTTGTCTGCAATGTAAGTTTTATTTACGCTAAACAGAAGTTACCAAATCAGGAAATAGTGGAGGTTCAAAAAAGGGCTTTCTGGAAAGCTGCCTGGCTCTGTCGGGTTCCTACTGAGAGAAGGAGCAAAAGCTGACAATTAAATCCAAGAGCAACAAGATGGGCAGGGAAAATAAGGACCAGTCCCTTGCAAGAGGAAAAGGTGGCTCACATATCCAGGATGGGGTTGCAGTGTTGGGCCAAGGTGAATCACAGAATCATTTGAGTTGGAAATGGCCCTTAAATGTCATCTGGTCCAACTCCCCTGCAATGAACAGACATGTAATGCTCGATCAGGTGCTCGAGATCCATCCAGATCCACCCTGGATGTGAGGGTAGTACCTGACAGCACTGTGAGGTGGTCCATCTCCTGCAGCCAAGAACACTGCAAAATTAACTGGATTCACATGGCAAATCATGAGTGTATCCATTCATCAAATGCTTCTTTTAACAAGAACTCAACATCATGCCAGGACTCACAGTATAAACAAGATGACCAAAGTATAAGACACTGAACGAGAACAGTTCAACATTAAAGGGCAGGAATAGCAATAAACATAGCTTGAGGGAAATCAGACTGCCAGAAAGTGTGGGTTTACAAGGTTTGTACACGTGGTGACAAAGCAAGCCAAAGCATCAAAGCAATGTGGTGGTTCATGATACTCCATGAAAGGATTCTGATACTGAAAGAAGTTGAGCAAGACTTAAATTGAAAACAAACTAAAATCATTTAAACCCTAAACAGGGTAAGAATAGCTACAAAAAAAACATGTTGGGTTTACTCATCCAGTAAAACAAAACACAGACTGAGGGACTGCAGAGAAGGAAGTTGGGTGCATGGTTTTCTTGCAGAGAATTCATTCACCATGGGATCTAATCACCTGCATTTTGGGAAACATTGTTCATCCCTTGGAATTTTTAAGAATTTCATATTTCTGATTGAAGCTTTTTCTAAAAAGCTCTGTTCTACTTGGTGGAAAATAAAAAGGATCAGAATATCTCATTTGATATAACTCCACTCTCCTGTAAAGCAAATCAAATTAGATACTACAGCAATATTCTTCTCTTTAATGACAGCCTGCATTGCTTTCCTGTATTTATAGCAATTCTGTAGATGGAACCATGCAAACAGTTCTGATATTTTGCAATGGAACATTTAGCTTCCATACGTTATTACATTCAGTTTGGGTGAAGGCTGTAAGTCACATTGCTACCAGCCATCTATGTGCAGTAACACAGGTGGTTCATCAGACATCCATGCTGATGCTCAGAGTTAGGAATGGCACAAACAGGGACACAGCTCTGCTCAGCTTCTCCCAGCCTGACTGGTCACAGACTTGTCTACAGTGATGGTTATCATGTCAAAAAATGCACAATTCCACTTTGCACAATGTACAGCAGCTTGAAGACTCCCTATCACACCATCATAGCTGTGCACCCATGGTGCCATGCCATGGATAAGCCTGGGTGAGCACTTTCACCCATAATTTACAATTTACAAAACCTTCAGTTTTGACAAGAACCAACATTTCAGGTCAGAGCAGCAACAGAAAACATCCTGTATCAGAAGAAGGAACCCATTGTCGAGGTGAACTGAAATGGGCTGCAGCAGAGTCCCCGAAGGCCTGCACCCCTTAAATACATTTAATACATGTGAGCAATGACTTACCGACTTGCCTGTAGGTATGGAATTAAAAGCCAAGGAAGAAGAAGAAAAAGTAATCTAGATAAATGACTTTATTCCCCGAGGTGACATCCAGTCAGAGCATATCCTCAGTGCTGTGCAAGTTTTAACAGAATTGTGAATAGTGAACAGAGGGATACATGACTTATATGCTGCTGAACTACATGCCTCTTAGCTTATGCTCAGCCTCTCCTAGGAAGATCTAAGGACAGTTCACTCAGCTGCACTAAATCCATTTGATGTGAAAGGAGAGCGTGTTGGGAGGGGGGAGGACTCAGAAGGGCGCTGAAATGTCAGTGCAGAGGATTAGGGCTGCACGCTACACCCTCTCATTTTCAGCATGCACATACTGTCGAGCAGCAGCTTGATGGCTGCTTGCAGGCATGGGTGATGGGTGCGGGGGAGGGTTAAGAACTGCATATTTCTGCCCTCTGCAATTATTTTCTTTAAAGTGCTGAAAGTGGAAAATAAAGAGGAGAGCAGCTGAACAGCCTGACAGATTTATCTTCTTCAGGGAAGGAGCACATACACCTGCACAGGCACCTTTTCTTTTCAAAAAAGTAATAAAAATCCTAAGCGATTGCTATCTGCAATCTTAACATGCTGACTGTAAAGAAGAAATTCCATGAAAAGTGAGTTAATCCAATCCCTCCCATTGCCAGACGCTTGTCTCTGAAGTGCAGCTCTAAACAGCCCATGGGCACTGTGGTTTTAAAGATCTCTCCCCAGACCAAGACCTGGCGATTCCTTTGTTCAGAGAATTTCCTCTCACTGAAGCTCTTTTCTCAATTAAATCTATTAAAAGACTCTCAAAGTAGGAGTCTGCAGACAACTGGGAACCTTTGAGACTGCTACATTTACTCCAGTCCTGCCTGGATCAGAAAAATTCTTACTTGTAGTGACATTTCTATCAGCATCAGCAGCTTCTTGATACCGATCCAAACAGACTTCCCTTTGACGTTCTGTGCAATGGTGCTGCGTTCCTTATCTTTAAAGTTACCCAGGAGCTGAAAAAGAAAGAAAGAAATCAGAACACTGCCAGTAGGAACAATGTTATTTAACTCAGGGCAAAGTGAATGAGAAGCTAGAATGCATTTTCTAGCTTAGAAGCACAATTTGTTGCAATATATCCAGACAAGGCAAAACATCCTTCAGTGTTCTCTAGGATTTCCACTACAGCATAGACAGGAAATGATTTAGAGCACGAATTTGTGAAGAATCTATAATTTCTTTGGCACCAAAACCCCTTCATTTGACATTATTCCAATTAATGAAAGCTTGGCATCCTCCACTTTAGGTACCCCAACTATATTCATTTTCCAAGGTATGAAAAGTGGGATCTTTCAATCCACTACACGAACTTCTTTCCTAAATCTACTGTTCTCTCATTTTTCATTAATTTACATATGAACAAGTAATTCAGAGAAGTTGTAGTTAAGTTGGACAATTTTCCAAAATGCAGATCTACTGCAAAACCATTCATTTCCAGCAAATTTTCAGGTTATTTGTCATCCTTTAATTTTTTTGTCACCTCCAAAGCTTCCATCAGCTGTTCCCCTGTTGCAATGTTGGGTACGTGGATCGTGGTGCTGAAGGCATTCAACATTTCCATTTCCTGCAGGACATCTTTGCGACTGGTGGTTCCAATGATCAGGAGCTTGCGACCCTGTCCACACAACAGAGCAAGTGTCAAGAAAGGAGAAACAAGAGAGGAAGCATCCTGGGAATGCTTCAGCTAACTACAAATGAGAAACAGAAAATGAACGTGTAAAAACACTAAAAAATAGCAAGATTACACCTCTCAGCAAGTTGTCAGCATCAATCATACATATCTAGGATCACGTTCCAGAAGTCCAGCAGCAGAGTTTATAGAGTTAAGGACAAAAGAAAAACATCAACTGCCAACGAAAATCAACCTCTGCTGGACCATCTTACAAATGCCACTGGAACGCTGTTTGAATTTTACTATGCAGATTCAAACACTTGATTGATGTTGGCTGATGGAAAGATGTGTTGGACTCATCAGCTGTGATCTGTCCCTTTTCCAGTTCAGCACACACAAAGCCCATGGGCCAGGAAGATACCCAGCTGGCCAAGTACCCTTCTCACTGTGCTGCCCAAAAGTTCAATCAATGCTTACAGACAAAGAATGTGAAGGGAGTTCTCTAGGGACACCAAAACTCTCATCTGATTGTGAGACACAGAGCTTGATAACAAATGCTATGGAGTGCTCCAGCACTTGCTCTGGAGTTACCACCCAAGGACATACAATGTTTTTGGTAGTAGATAAGAATAGGGAATAACAACCTGCAAAGTAACTCCTTGAATGATGCGACCTGAGCAACTTCCACACAGACAAAGAGCATGCTTGGTTATAATAAAAATGGAATCTATTTTGAGGGCTCATTAGAGCCTGAAAGATCTCACCAGGAAAAGATATAAACACTACAGAAATATAATTAGGTAAGTTTCACCGACTCCAACTTTAGGTGTCCACATGTGACCTCATTATCAGTACTCCCTTCTTTGCTAACGAAGCCCAGATGACACTTACCTCCACCCAAAGCTACCTCTACTCTGAACTCCCACAGCAACCCATTTTCTAGCTCAGCTGTAGAAAACCAAACTGCTGACAGCCACATTTATTCAGATGAATCCCAAACTTGCTGTAAATCAGGTCAGCAGACAATTACTACACACACAAGAATGACTCTGAGGGACTTATGACCACTTAGGAAAGCCACTGGAATCACTCATTGTGGCCAGTTCTGTGAAAACATTAGCCCAGTGCTAAGCATTACTCAAAATACAAACACTGGGAATGGGAGAAGGGAAAAACAGAAATAATTATTCTACTGCATGAAATTAGAGTGCTTTTATGCTCTTACTTTAAAGACACTTGTCATTTCAAGCACTTATGTCAAATACAGCACTGAGCTGGAGGAGTCAGAGGAAAGCAACGAAGATGCAGAGAAATATGGAATAACTTCCCTAAAAGACTCTTGATAAATGACAGGGCCAAGAAGGGTAACAGAGAGGTCCATAAAATCACAGACAATGCAGAGGAGGAGGTGAGGGTGCAAACTGCTGTTTCTCATAACAAAAAATCACAGAGCCCTGTGTGACATCGAAGGTCAGGCTCTGAGCACCTGACCAAGCTGTAGGTGTCCCTGTTCAATGCAGGATGGCCTTTAGAGGTCCCTTCCAACTTCAACAATTCTATGCTGACCCATCGCTGACTCTGTGTTGACTACATTATCCACACTCAAGACCCTGAACCACTGAATGGTAGAAAACTCATCAGAACAGGCTCCTCTGCAAAATAGCGCTTAAAAGTTTCTAACTGCTCCACACAAAGCATTCTTTTTTCCTTGCTCTCTTCAAAAGCTTTCTTCAATTTGCTACCTCTGAACTTCAACCACTGGAAAAGGTTACTATAAAACAAGTGTAATCTCTGCTGTACCAATTACTAACACAAAAATTGTCGGGAGTCCCCTGTACTTTTCAAGGTTTCAGGCAACTTGCACAGCAAACTGCAAAACCTACAAGTCAGAAACATTTTGCCCCAGGCACCACAGAAGCACAAAGCCATGAAGTCAAACTGAAAAGGCTGACTTCATCCCATTGCCCTGCAATACACCACAAGGTATCACTGGACTTATTCTTGATGTTAAGATGTGCTGCTGAAGTGTCCCTGATTCCAGATATCTTAAGTGTTTTGATCCTTAATTTCTACAATAGCCATTGCAAAGGCTACAGAAGATCAGGACAGAAGTGAACTTCCAAAAATCAGGTGCAACCAGAGTAACACAAAGTAAGAAGGAACTTGGCTTTCCAGCAGCTTGAGATCATTTGATTTCAGACATTATTGGGGCAGTTTTAGGAATAGCTCCTCCATCAACACAGATGAGATGCAGGCAGGCATCTAAGTCTGGCTTCCTCCTGCCCATTTTCAGGTAATGAAAGTGCCCAGTTAGGATCCCAAGGCCCATCGATCAGGAAAGCCTCAGTGAGGGACATAACTTGCCCCGCTGCCTTTTAGAAGTGGGATAACTCCAGACCCTCTCTCTGCTACGCTGAATTTATATGAATAAAGGACATAATTAGACAGCTATGGGATTCCGAGTTCATAAACTGAAGTCATTTTAAGTGATGGCATTTTCAAGCAATATGAGATTGATTCTCCCAACTTCATTTTCGCTTCCTAGCGGGCACCAGATGATTGCTCTGATGACCAAACTAGATCATACAAGAATGTAATAGACTGCTACAAGCAAATGAAGTCTCAACATGTCAGCAGAGTCTCAAATTACCTAATTTCAGTGCATTTCACCAGCCCCAGGCAAGAGGAGTTCAAAACACAAGTGTCAGTGGGTACTAAAGTGCCTCTGTTGGATACCCGTTAGCTGATCACTTCTCTTTGACCCCTTCTTTATTTTTAAGTTTTGAGATATCAACAATTCTTCCCACGTAATGGGAGCAAATGCAGTTCCCCAGGTTTACAGGTGTAAATGTAAGATCTCCATTGACTCACGTTGCTTCCAATCCGCACTGAGTGATGTGGAATCAGGAATGCATATGGGATTATATCAAACAAGGAGATTACTCTCCCCTTTTCTCCGTCAACTTTCATAAATGTGCAAAAATGCAGAGGAGAGGAAAGGGGCTGGGGGCCTCTGGGAGCAGTGGAAGGGCATCCATAGGAATGTTCAAGAGCATCTCACTAAGCCCGACATCTCATAACACTGCACAAATTGTATGTCCAGCTTAGCGCGGGGATGCTGCAATGGTCTTTCACCCTTTGAGCCGATTGTTAGCTTTTCACAGGAACCAGCAGGGAAGCACATGTGAAACCTCTGTGGGGCTGGTGAGCGTCTCCATGCCTTGTGTGACTCTGCATGTCGATGAAGCAGCTTCGGCTTTCGGAGCTGCTGCTGCTTAGTTCTCAGAGAAGTCCTTTTCTCCCGCTCGGCTCCCCGCTGCGACAGTCCTTTTCAGGCTTTCTATCCCCCCCAGCCTCTTCTCCTGCACTCAATTGAAAGAAAGACCCAAGAGAACATGGTTTATTTTCTTCTCTTAGTCCATTTTAGAAAAGCTTTTTAATTGGTTTAAAAAAAAAAGATGCTAAACAAAATGCAGTGTTTTGGGGCTGGTAACAGATACCACTATTTAAGCACTGCTCAGAGGAACTCACAGTCATGAATTTAAAGCACACCCAGAAACGTTTCTCATTTCTGTAAAGCCTAATTGTGTTTACTCCCAAAACTTCTGCAAAAGTACAAGGAGGTTCAAGCATTTGCCCTCTGCACACCACGTTAATACACTCGCAATAGGAAGAGGGGAGGCCAGAAAGCAGCCTTCATCAACCAACTTAACATACACCTCAATGCATAATTAATGAGATATCATCCCAGAAATGCTCCTTACACACATAGCCTACAGTGATTGCAGGAAGCTGACTGCACATTAAGTATACTCTTTGCATGAGATGTGACAACACTGTGTGAATACATAATCTGGGCCACAACACTGGAGAGGCAGAGCTGCACAGCTGGAACACTGCTGCCCACCATCCTCAGCACTTTCTTGTTCCCATTTCTGAGCTTTTCACACCACTTGTGCTCATACTTGGACCCCCTCTGCCTGTTGGTAGAAGAGGACAGGCATTGTGTCCCTAGCATCTGGACATGAATTTCTTGCAGCACTGGGACAGCGTGAGCTCCATATTTATGGGGGATGAATCTAAACCATGTCCCTGGTTGGGGGTCTGGGTCTTTGGTTGGGGGTGTTGGGTCTCTGGCAGGGACCAGGATGGGTCTCAATGCCAAGAAGCTGGCATTGGTTTGACTCATGGAGCAAGTTAGCACCACTAATGCTACTCATGTGCATTTACAGCACGTATCTGCATCTCAAATTACAACCAAACCCCTTGGAACCAGCCATCACCTCCAAATAAATTGCTCCCCGAGGGAACTGGTGATCCCAGGGGAAACATAGAAGGGCAGTGATTAACCAGTGGTTTTACCTCCCTGTGGATTTCTCACTTGAGCTTGAGAGCCTGGAGAGTCTCGATGCCCAGATTAAATTTTTTTCACAGTAAGAAGAAAACTCTTGACCTTTTCCTGCATGAATCAACATCTTATGCACAGGGTTATTTATGGAAAAAAATAAATAAAAATCCCCACATGTCACAATTGTCACGGAGAGCTCACAGGAAACAAAATACTTTAGGAAGAACCCTATGATCAGAACTACCCAACTAGGTCAGCCCTAAAAGCCCATCTGATCCAATGTCCTAATTTCTACAGTAGCCAATAGTGGACACTTAAAAGGAAAAAAAAAAAGAAAAGAAAAAAGCATCAATCAGAGAGTGACATTTCCTCAGAAAACTCTCTACCCTCCAACAATTTATGGCTTAAGTCACCATAATATTGGCTGTCAACTCAAAGTCTTCAGCCTCAAGGGCATTTCAAACATTGCAGAGCACAAATCTCCAGCAACATGCATAAACTTGGCAAATATCTGAAAGCTCCAAGCCCTGCATCCTGCTTTCAGGAGAATCGAGTGCCAACAAAAGTGCAGCAAGGCAGCAAAATACACTCAGAGGACACAATAATAAAATGGAAAACGTAGTATTTGAAGTACTTCGGACTACTGAGCCAAATCAAGTTCTATTTTTCTCTTCTGATCTACGGGAATAATGGCACTATGGAAATATCTAGCAATAAGTCAATGAGCACATGAGATTACAACAATCAGAAATGGTTGTGCAGCTGCACACAGCCAGCCCTTCTGTTCCAGCTACAGGATAACAGAATCCAAGTCTGATATTAGATGCTTCACATGGTGAGGGCAGGTCTGGGAGAAAATCTTTGTTCTCCCAGGTTGGCAGTCAGAAGGGGAACATCAGGGCCTGTGGCATTAGAATTTAATTCAAAGTTCTGGATTTGAAAGGTCTTTTCAGCAAACCACCTAATGAAAAGAATACTCATGTATACGTGATTGCTTCCAGGATATTAAAAATGACACAAAAAGCAAAAAGGCTTCATTCAGGCTGTTTCTCTACTTTTCCCTGACACAAACTTTCAAGCTTTTCCTGTTAGAATCTTACTTATTCATGCAGATACTTTCACACACAGCAGAATTCTAGTGAATGAGAGGGAAAATGGCAAACAAAAAGGGGGAGTCACTCCTGCTTGTCTCATTCAGTACAAGCTTCAGAAGCATCATCGTTGTTGTGTTCTTGAACCTCATCAAGTCAGAAAGTATAAATTGACAGGGCCAGAAAACTATGTAAAACCTTGAGCTATACTCACCTGATGATATCAAGAACAAATTAAAACCCTAACATTCACAATCAGACATGACTCAGAAAACAGTTTCTAAATAAGGAGGGAGCTCATGCTTGAGCCAGGAATTGATTTGGGCTGAGCTGCTCCTTATTTAAATCAAGGCAGACTGCTTGCATGTTTAGAGTTTACATGGTGAAGGTTAAACCTGTTTCCTCCTTTAGTATTTCATAAGATTCAGGCTTAAATGATGAGATAATTAAAGCTGAATCCTTTGTGGTTATCCTAGAAATGTCTAACTGAATGAACAGTGGGGCTGGGATTAACTTGACTGAATCAGAGACAATGGCAGTAATACCACTGGCAGCACAGCAGCTATCAGCAAGACACAAAGCCTTCCACTGTCAGAATTATGGCAGGAATAGGGCATCACACTCCTCGATTACCTCCTTACCTGAGGGGGAGCCTTCTTCAGCAGCACAAGAAGGGCTTGCAGCACCAGATTAGAAAACCGTGGTCCAATTGGCACATAATCTGAAATGAAAAATATATTTTAATGCCCATCAAGTAGTTGCAGACGTATCAAAAAAGCAGTTTGAGGTTCCTAAAGTAAATAGTTCCAGATCATTTTTGGTTTGCAGTATTTCAACATTTCTGCATGGCAGACAACACAGTCCTCACCCTAACCCACCTAGAAGTCTCTCAATGTCATCCACAACGACGCAGCTGAGCTGGGACTTGTATGCATCATCAAAGATCTGAAAAACAGCAAAAGGAGTGACTGCTAAATCTCAGCAGCACAAGTACAATAGTTGTGATAGGAACTGTCCATCTGTTTCTAAGTAAGCACAGCAGTATTTAGAGGAATAAACAGAGAATGAAAAAGTTAACAACTATGCAAATCTTGCAGTGAACTACTCCTCTGTTCTTAGAGTAACATCCCTCATTTACATGACTAATCCAGTATAATTCAGCTAGAAGAAAAATAAGTGCTGGCTTGCTCCTGTAAATTAAATCTCCTTCCTTCCACCTGGCTACTTGAAATGATTTAAGGAGTTCTACTTGTCTGCATTTGCCCTATGCCCCAAGATGTTAAAACCCCTGTTTAACCAAACCCTACCAACTCAGAACTGTTCATTCAGGCAGGATCTGTTCTTTCCATGTGCAGCCCTGAGCCCTTCCTTCTTTCATCCTTGGAGACAGAGCTCCAGACTTGCTCATCCATGATCAGTTTTGTCTCATTGTTAGTGATGATTATACATCAGATCCAGCTGGGACAGAACCACGACATTTTCCCTTTCAGATGAGTCCCAAACTTCATTCAAACAGACCACATGGAATTTCCTCAATTGGAGCAAAGCAAAAGAAGTTTTTTTGTACACAAATGAGTGAAATGCCTGTGAGCTACAAGCTTAGACATGCATCCTTGCCATCTTTTGGGTCTACCCTACCAAGCACCCTGAAAATATAACTACAACTGACCAGAATAAATAAATACATGCAAATTTAGAGTCCCTGAAGCTAGAAGAATTTGTGTTATTAGTGATTCTGCCACGGAGTTTCACATTACTGGCGAAAATGCATAGTTAAAAGATGGTAACTGTTGAAAAATAGTATTTTGTAGCTGAGAATGTGCTCTGTCAAATTGTGTTATTGTGCTCTTCATATATGTTGGAGTTTCCATGGAAATAAGTAGGAAGCATTACTTTTGGAGCAATCCTTGTGTAAGTGCTAAAGTGCTTAAGTGTGATAGGATGAGTCACTGGGTGTCAAACATTCATTCAATTTCATAACAACTGTCTGTATAGGAATTCAGGCCCTACGGAGAGCATCATCACAGGACAGTCCCTTTCTCATCCAGGATGGAGTTGGACTGTCATCAAAAGAAAGGGCAGAAAAGTAGTACCTTCTTCATTGCCTGGCACTTGGCTGTTTCTGAAAATCCAATCATCTTATCAGGAGAACAGATCTTGATGAAAGGGAAGTTGGATTCCTCAGCTATCTTTGCTGCTAAAGCAGTCTTCCCACTGTGTGGGGGACCTGAAACAAAGAAATACAATTAGAAAAAAACTAAGGGAGAAAATGGGCCTGGTAAGGCTCAGCATGAACGATATTTTAAAAATGCTTGTTACTTCTTTCACAGAATACCTGAGAAATGAAATGACCTTTTCTTCTACTTGCAGAAAAAACAGTGCAATTCAGTCCTTCAGATGAAGGAAATTAATGCAACTATTGGAGCACACACAGCCTGATTTGCCATGAAATTAGCAAAGGAAAATGACTTATTTTGTAGGATGGGCCACTGTAGAAAGTATGTCTTCCTTTTTTGCAGAACCTTTTTGAATCACATTTATGCCTCTTAAAGATATGATGTCTGCAAGCAAACAGCATGAGTGCCCAGGAAATATTGACAAAGATAATTTATGATCTGCCTGAATGCGCACCAGTATAATTTACAGACCAAGGACACATCTTAACATCCAATCCTAAACAATCTGGAGTGCAATCACAGATCATTACTGGGGCAGCTGATAGGAATAGTTTAAATAAGGGTCTTTCTGTCTGTTTTTGTATAGATATTATTCTTAAATTTACCTTCTAGAAGAACGCTGACCAGCGGAGTACGGTCACTGTTCTTGGTTTGTTGAACAAGCAGCTCCCCATCATCCAACACCCTTGTTACTGGATCACCCCACTTAATAATGCCATTCATGATATAACTTGCATAGTCCTCCTGGTTGGTTCCAAATGCCTGTTTTAACAGAGGGAATATTTACTTCACACTCATCCTCAGCACAAATTCTCATCAGTGAAAGTTGCTCGCGGGTTTTGAATCTGTGTCATTTAAAGACAATTCTCAAAAATGGGGCTAAACATCCTAATTACAAAAGGAATTTGCTTCTTGCATCATTAACTGTTCTGGGTGACTCTATTATCCAATTACACAGTGCCTACTCACTGGTTTGATATCATTCTCCAAGGATGCAAAGAAGTCTCCTCTTGTCACACGTAAGCTTTCTGCCTTCTCCATGTCTACTTCCACTTTGTTGCTGGCCTAAAGAAGGTAATAAAACAGAGTGAAGTACAGCACAGCTGCAGAAGATTCCTACCAACTTCAATGCAAGGATCCAATGCTGCAGTTGGGCCGCAACCCAAAAGGATTGTTGAATCCTAATTTAAACTTAGGCAAGATTAGAAATTAGGTAGGTTCCCTTTAAAGTAAGGAACTGCTCTCTCCCTTTAGAGTCTGCAGAAATACTTCACTGCAGATTCTGGTATAAAAAGGGGATGAAACCTTCATTTCGTGACTTTTTTCAGAAAGACAAATTAAAGTTTGGTTTAACCCAACACCACGTTTCCCCACTCCTTCTTTGGCAGCTTCAAACAAAGCATGTTCCTCTCCACACACAGAACTCTTTAAGGCAATTGGTAAATATTAGATTTCTTTTTACTTCATTTGCCTCAGTGCAACCAAAGCAGTGAGTATTCCAATGCAGCACCATCAGTATTGGAATAAACACACTACAATTAGCTCAGCTTACACTGCTCTCCCTTCTAAACTGAAGACAGCACCTTTTTCCTTCTGCTACTCCCAAATTCAGATATATTACTGACTGTGGCTCCACTCTACACTAGAGAGCAGCTCCATTTTCTGCGATTATTTCTAGATCTGCAAATACATGGATTGCCTTAGGCAGCAATCAGGAATTACATGGATATGAAGCAACTTTCCCACTAAGTGTCACACAAACACTCACTGTTACAGATTAATCCCATCTGTACAGTCTGCTGAGAATCCTGCATGGAGTTACAGATATCAGAAAGAGGATTAGTCACAAGAGGGGCAGAAGTTGATCCGTGCAAAGCAATCCATCTAACTGCAAGGTGATATGGCAGAAATCTACTTTAAGTAACTTGGTGATGAGGTGAAAGATTTTCATTCATCTACATCTTGGCTTTTGGTAATTTCTTCACTTCCCAACTACACCACAACAAATTTCTCTACATTCCAAAACAAGCCTAATTTTCATTGAAACTTACCTGCATCTTACATCAGCACGTGGTTTTAACCTGAGAGTATAAGAGCCCTACATCATCTGATTGTTCAGAAGGTTAAAAAATGGGATTTCAAGGCATTTCTTGGAAGGCATAGCAACATCTAACACCTTTCCCTACATGGACGAATCAAATAACACTCCCCCTCAAACACATATCTCAGAGATATCACCTTCTAACAAGGATGATCTACAAGAAGAGCTTAAATGATTCAGAAGAATAATTCCATTTGATTTCCAAATGCAATTTGTAGCTTCACATACACTTCTGAAATCTAGGTCAGGCATATGATGTATATTTTAAGTTTTGCACTGCTCACAGGAGAGAATGAAAATCATTTGGCTGAAGACACCTTCAGAATAAACAGTAAGATTACCCAGAAATAGTGTGTGTGTTTGAAAAGAAAAACAGGGTGTGATTGCTTGACATTTGGAAAACACAGGCATCTATTACTGAGATGTCAAGGAGGGGACAGCTCTTTTATATTTGTATGTCACCACTGTCTTCTCTCCCACTGCAAAATGCTGGCACAACAGGGAATATATCAAAATCAGCCTCCAAAATCAAGCAAAATTCAAACAATGAAAAAGCATCAATTAGAAGTGGAGTTAAATATTTAAAGGAAAATGCTTTGTTTGTGAAGGGATGAAAATACCTTTCTTTTTTTGAGACAGTACAAGAAAATGAGAAAGCGTTCATCTTTCTGCTTTTTATTATGGGAAACAATAACTTTTCCTGGTTACACAAGAAATATAAGTAGAAAGAACCAACGCTTCCAATAGATACAAATATCAAAGAAAGCAAATTATTTTTCCTGCTTAAATTAATAAGACCTGTTTTCTTTGTATTTAAGGCTGAAGAGATTTTTTACTTACAATAAATGTATCAATGCTGTGCAATTGATGTTAAAGGCTCTGTTCTGCAGTAATTCACACCAACTCTTGGCCACGAGAGAGGTTACATCTTTCAGCATCTTTCTTCATGAACTAATAATCATCTCGTATTTCAACACCACTGAATACTGTGTTTTGCATCTGGGTTAATATAACCTGACATTTCATGGTCCTTATAACTCCTTTCTAGTTAAGGATGCACAGCAAACATTGGGAAAGCAAGGTGATGTTCCTCTAGCATGGAGGAACCTGAAAAGATTACAAGTCAATATGACCAAAGAAAAGTTATAAGCCTGCAATCTCATTGTTTTCTATTTCTAGATCATTTATGAAGATACTGAGCTGCACAAGCTCCAGCAGAGACCTCTGCAATATCAATGACTGTTCGCACTTCCACCTCGTTTCCTGTATCCAATCCATTAAATCAAGCCTTTCAATTTTCACCACAATACACTGAGAGACACTTGTCTTCCATTCTCACTGAGCTATGAAAGAGTCACAGAGATGCTGGGAGATGACAGAGGTAATTTAGAGTGATGCGAAAAGATGCTGTCCATATGAAAACCATCTAAGCTATGTTAAGATGCCACTATCCATTTGGAATATACAAGAAAAGACTCCACAAATAACTATTTTCTCTTTTGTTTTGCCCCATTGACAGATGACAGGACTAACCTTGATATGTCTGTTCATTGCAGTAGACTGAGCAGCTCGAACTAAACCTTCTAATTCAGCACCACTGAAGTTTTTTGTCTCAACTGCCAGTTCTGCAATGTCCACATCTTCAGCCAGCAGCTGGTGTTCCCTCATCCGTACTGTGTGGATATGGAGAATCTGGAATCGACCCTTCTCATCTGGCAAACCTGAGATGTCATACAGAGTGCATGTTAACCAGTGCTTCAGCACAGCTGCAGAAAAGCCCTCCCTGCTCCTCAGTGGCCCTATGTCCAAAGGCTCTTTCTCACTATAAACAATTCCCTCACGTCAGCAGAATATTTTAAAGCTCTTATATTTAATCTAAAATTTAAATACTTAAAAATTTGCCCTTGGCAAATTGCTTGGCATCATCCCCAATCTACACCAAGAAACAGCACAGGGTTCAATTTCCTGTAAGTTCATTGCTCTCAGGCTCCCATACCAGGAATTCACCTTACAGAACAGCAATCTGGTCAGCCCTAGCACCCCTATGCACAATTTCCACCTTGTCATTTTCATACAGCCTTCATCTTCTCAGATGTAGCTGATTATTTCCCAGTTTCCTCCTTAGCAAGTCCCTTCTGCACATAATGCAAGATATAGAAAATGCCTTTTCTTGAAAGAAAGGTAAGTCAGTAGCACAACATCCTCTTGGTATAACCAAACTCTACTTAAGTTTTCATCTAATTTTTTGTCATTGAAAGGAAACAAATCTCAGTAATATTGATGGCTCTTCCTGTCCTTCCAATAAATCTCACCACAGTTCGAGATATTTTTTTTCACCTTTAAAATACTCAATGCCTAGCTCAGAGCACACAAAGTATTTCATGACATTTGAGTGTTTGTGGAAGAAAACAGGAAAACGTTTTATGGGTTCTTACAAAAACTGCAGATCTGAAACTGTGCTTCCAGCCTTTAAACATGGATCTCCACTGCTTTGGATTTCTCAGTGCAAGACAGAAGAACTGCCTTCCATCAGTCTCAGCCTATTCTCTGTGCATTCAAACTTCCTTCTGAGAACTGTTAATAGAAGTGAGCACCAAAGTACAGCCATCCTTTGGACTCCATCATAATCATTACTGATTAAACATTCTGATTTCAAATGGAAAGATAACGTTGGCTCTAAGCTAATTTGTGCTTTATTTCCTGAAGAATCCTAATCACCAGATAACTATTACTTTATCTGGAGCTGGTATCAGGTAGGTGTGTACAACTACAGAAGACCCTTTTAAATTAATGACAGGTAATCACATTTTCCAGTTCACACCTACCCAATTCTGCTGGATAGACTCTGACATCTGGTCAATGGCTTATCAGCTGGTAAATCTAAAACAGTGTTTTAATTCACTGAATAAATTTATAAATTTATGTGGTGAGTTGTATCAAGTTTAGCACCCTCACTATCCTGGTTACTTGTTCACATTATGACACATATTTGCTTTGCTATTCTAAGTACTTGTGAGCTGATGTACTGAGCTGTACAGCTTGCTTACCAATCTCCATTTTCACCTCCAGTCTCCCTGGTCTCAGCAGAGCTTCATCAATCAGGTCAGGTCTGTTGGTCATTCCTAAGTCCAAAATTAAAACCAGAAGGAGCGTTAGCTGAGTTTACTAAGTAGGACTTCAATTCCTGAATACAGTCCATAGAGGTAAGAAGAGACAAAAGAGACTCATTTTCAGAAATACTAGGAAAAGTTATGCCTTAAATTAGAATCAGGGCAATAGAGACCAAACCTGCATTGCTTCTGCAATGAACAGAGCAGCAAATTTCAACCTGACCCCATAACAAGAAAGACCACCATACCAATCACCAGGATGTTATTGAGTTGCTCTACTCCATCAATTTTAGACAGCAGCTGGTTGACAACAGTATCATGAACTCCAGTGCTCCCCGCCATGCTGCCTCGCTGCTTGCAGATTGCATCAATCTCATCGAAAATGATGATATGAACACCACTGTTTGCTCCAAGCTATTGGAGAGAAAAGCTTGTCAGGAATGCCACATGTCACCATTGAAAGTCATTTAACAAAACATAACTTCAAAAGATCAGCCAGTGAAATACAAAACATTGATTTCTCCAAATGATTTGGATATCACATGCTGTGCATCAGATCCCTCCCCAGTAACATCTTGCTGTCCTCCAAAATGGATCGGCTGGTACATCCAACCAACCCAATTGGGATGACTGCACCCAATGCTGGAAATATTGGATGGATGTACCCAATGTGGGAAACACCTCAGGTCAAAAAGAAGCTAAGAAATACACAGCTTGCTATGTAACTTAGTTCTCCATGTTTCAAGGAGTCCATTTGTTCAGTGCCAATCAGAACACAACTGCTAATTTCCAGGTTCACTCCAAGGTGAAGCAGTTGCAGCTGGTAACAGAACAGGATACCTTTTTTTTGTGACCGTGTTATGAAGCTTTTCCTCTTCAAACTCCACCTCTAAAACATCTATTGTGGTCAGTGGGGTCCACATTAATACTGGGTGAATGTGCTGTCCCTGGCAATCTGCCCCAGACACAAGTCATTACAATACCAACCTTTTGGAGACCTTTTTAATCTCACAACTTGTCATCAGAACCAACCCCCTCATCCCCAAGCCAATCATGTCTATTTTAACAGGTGTGTTATTGCAAAGGAAACAAGCTCACAGCTTCCAGTCATACTGCAACAACCAGAGAGAAGGAGGCTGTTTACATCTGCAGGGGGTCCCATGTAAAGCTGGCTAATTGATTAATATATCTTGTGCAGAATAAAATAATGTCAAGCACTATCACAATCTGCAGCACTGTTGTAAATACTATTAGAAGATACAACACCCTTGGCTAATGTCTTCTGAAAAGACCTCTCTATATTTAACTCCAACTTACCTGATGTCATGTTTTCTTTATCAGAAACTCTTACCAAGATAAAGTGATATGAAGAGTTATCATAGCACAAAGGAAAAAAAGGTTTTTACAGCTTCTAAACTAAAGACTGGGCATCCTGTAACCAGCTAAAGTAACGGACAAATCTGGGAAAAACAATCTTTGCCTCCAATTACACTTTTTGAGATCGATGCTCTCTAGCTTTGAGGTGGAGAGTTCTTATCCATTAGTTCCATAACTAATGATCCAAAACTGCTCTTATCCATTACTTTTCTGCTGAGAAAAAATTAATGGTCTATTGATTATTACACTCACAACAACACTGTTATAATGTAGACTTACGTATTCATATAAAACCCTGTAACTCAAAAACTTGAAGTCATGAGAACTTATTTGAAATCCATCCTATTTTATGTGCCCTAACTCCAACTGGACTGTCTCCAAAATAAAACAAGAAAAAAGCAAAAAAAAAAAAGGAGCAAAATGTTTACAAACCTATTTTTAAGCACTTTCTGAACAGCTGACACACTGTGTAATATAAAACACAGCAGGATGGGCACTAATGAATTACCTCAAAATGAAAGTTAAACAAACTGTCCATTTGCAGCACAGGTACCTGAAAGATCAGCTACCTTCTCCAGTTCTACGATATTCTTCTTTCTTTGAGTCAACACTAAGTGTATAAAAATACAGAAATAATCTGTAGAACACTAATATTCAGTGACTTGCAAGGAGTAACTATAATCAAAAGTGAAGCTGTGACTCAGTCTTTTAATGCAAGCAGCAATTTTCTGATTACAAACTTCCTTTCCAGGCATTCTTTAGGCACATTCATCCTGACCATGCTATTTATCCATGTTTGCATTACCCTTCTTTGTTCCTCTTCTGCATCAGCAAACAGCTTGCGGATGTTGGCCTCAGACTCGCCCACGTATTTATTGAGGATTTCTGGCCCATTGACCACTTTTGGTTCTCTGGCATTCAGCATCTTGCCAATCTGTCTGGCCATAAGAGTTTTACCACAGCCTGGAGGTCCATACAGCAGAATGCCTTTTACATGCTTGCAGCCTAGAACAAGAGAGAACACGATTAAAAGCAGGGTTACACAGGAAAGAGCCAGGGAAGTGGTGGAGTCACCATCCCTGGAGGTGTTCAAGAACCATGGAGATGTGGAACTGAGGGATACAGTCAGTGGGTATGATAAGCATGGGCTGGGACTGGACTTGGTGATCTTGGAGATCTCCAAAATAATGATTCCATGACTTCTCACTTTCCCTGCAGGGGCACATAACACAGGTCAGGACAACCTTCCCTTACAGGAAGGTTTCAGTTGAGTTTAATTTTCATATATAAAGGGAAATGAAGCATCCTTCATAATGCTGATGACTGTCAACATTACCCAGCTGAAGCTCACTCCCAGTGTAGATGCAGATAGTGGAGATTACTGCTTCTTGAATCAGAAATCATGGAATACTAGGTAATAATGTTTAACATTTTACCCCTGCATTGAGCAATGAATCTAGTTCTGAATACACATTTTTAGGACAAATATGGAGGAAGGCACAAAAGATAAGGCTAGAAGGAGCCCTGGGCAGCCTGACCTGGTAGCTGGCAACCAGCTCACAGCACGGGGTTGCAGCTCAATGACCTTTAAGGTCCCCTCCTACTCAAGCCATTCTATGATTCTATGAAACTGAGAAAGGCTTCTAAGAGCAATTAGAACCATTAGAGGCCAAAAAAGCTTGACTTGTAACTAAAGAGATCCAAAAAACTCTAATTTAATCAAATAACAGGACTACTGATCACTGTGCATGAGCACTGGCATTTAAATTCTATCCTTGGAGAAGAGGAGAGACCCAATGGATCTAAAGCTGGACGCATCCAAAGTCAGCAACACGCACAAGAAGTATACAACTTCTGAGAGATCCATGTGAAAACAAGAAAGTTTTCCCTCAGATTCACAGGATTTTAGATTTTGTTTTAAAGACAAAGAACAACAACTCATGCCACAGTCACTCCCACTCACCAGCCCTACAGAACATCCCAAGGAAAGAGACCAGGAGGAAGCTGCATCCACTTTGAACACAAGTGGTGATTTACAGGATATGGAGTCCTGTACCACCTTCTCTTTCTCTCTTGCTCCATCCAATATTGGTACATTTGGAGATGAAAAACAGTTTTGCTTCAAGAATATTAGATTTATCTAAAACCTTAGAAACCTTGAAGTACTTTAATGCATTTAGAGAACAAGTACTTTTCTTACCAATGCACAACTGTGACTTCATTTCATTCACTCCTTAATGTTACAGTGATGAACTCACTTCAACATGAAAAACAGCTCAACACAAAATATTTTCTAATATCAGCAAGCACTGCTCTCTCTCTTTCAGGTTGTTAGTGCATTAACGTTTAAAGGGAACATCACTGTGAGGAGCTTCTCATCCCTACCACAATCCCAAACACAGATAGTGAAGCACTGCTTAAGTACAGTAATAAACCCGGAGGATTTCTCCATGGAAAACAAAGTGTAAAGAATGAAAAGGAAGAGAAAAGAAAATATTGCAAAAAAAATCAAGAGGTCTGGTTAAGAAGAATCCATCAGTCAACTTTCAGGCATCTACGAGTCAAGAAACACAAACACATGCTGTCAGTCAAGACCAGCTTTGCACAGGAACAAATGAGGCTCAGATAAATTAAAAGCTATTCCTGTCAAATCAATGTCACGAGAGGCATTGTGAACGTGTTTTGCAGAGGAACATGATCACCTATGTAGCCAAGCAGCACAAAGCAGGGTTTTGATGATGAGTGATGCTTTTAGGGGAAATAGCAAGGAAAGAAAGTCAGTGGTGCTCAGAAAGCTCCAAAGTGCTCAAGCAGGAGAGGCCATCCGAAGGCTACCAACAAGTCAGGGCACATGCACACAGCCCTGCTAGCATCCCAACAGGGTAGGAAAGCTGCACTGTACTGCATTATCTCTTTGTAGCACACCTTCAAAAAAGAAGCAAAAATATCAACTCTGGGCATTTTTAAAATAGACAAGTGATGACAAACTACAAATGTTAGGTCTCAAATCACAGTGAGATACTAAGGAATTCTGAGTAAGGTTATCTCCACTTTGCTGATTTCACCAATGTTGCCAAATGTCAATACTATTATGAGAACCTTAGAAACACAAATTATTAGCAGTGCAGACAACTAACTCATTGAGCTTACAATTAGGTGCCCAAATCAAAGGTCATTCCTGTAATGGGATACTCTAATTATGAATTAAATGACATGTGGTTACAGGCTGAATAGAGATGTTAACAGGAACTAAAATATACCAATACGGGAACTCTTCCACACAAAATATTAGGCAAAAGTCACAAAAAAAAACACTAAGAATGGGAGTTCTAAACCAGAATGTCACTTACCCAGAGACAGCAAGGAAATTCATTTGTTCAACTCTCATTATTCACTTTTTTGAAAGATCAGAAGAAATATTTTAGCATCATAGGGATTTTCTACCTGGGAGTGTAATTCCCCTTTTAATTAAAATGAAAGCATTCTGCTGTAATTGTATCACTCAGATACACCTATCAGGAATCTGCATCGAAAGCAAAGCACTGATCTTGAATGCAGGGAGAGATGCTTATCTCTGCACATTCATCTCCAAGCAGGTTACAATAAGATCAGGGTTCCCAGACTTCACCTGCTCCATGGACAAGATTTTCCCAAAACATACCTGAGTGGAATTTCCCCCTCCTCTCAACCTGTAAGTCCAGCATTATTTCAGCCTACATCACTGCCTCCCGTTAATCTTCCTAAAGGATTTATGTGCTGCTGACAAGCAGCAGAACCAAAGGAAATAGTCCCTGCTCTGAATTCAGAGATGGGACATGCAAACCCATATCAAAAAGAAGGCTTCTCTGCAACAACAACGACACAAAAAAACAAAGAGCAAATGCCTCTGTCTCTCAAACAGAATTACAAAAATGTCATTAATTTAAGACAAAGATTATGAAGAGTCCTTGGATGGACTGCTGAACACAACAGCTGATGCTTACAGTCACATCCTACCTGGATGTTAAGAGCCATAAATCTCATCAGCATTCTCTACTTTTTGGAGTAAAGCTGAATCACTTCTGTCTACTTAAAGTCAGAATGATGTAATTAGAAAATACATTATGGAATACTTACCTACAGAGCCAATCAGATTAAACAAATGTCAAACTAACAGGGTTACTGGGATGTCCCAAAACTAGTTTCCAGCCAGAGGATTGCTGTACTTAGCAAGCATTGGCAATGCCTGCTATGGAACACCACAACTGCAACCAAAAGAAGTGAGAGCAGACATCCTTATAATTCAGTACTTGATGCTGACAATGGCCATCAACAAAGCAAAAGCCCTTGTGGCACTTTTGGTGACAAATACCTCTTCCCTTTGTTACATGTCTGCCTTTTGTGAGCTGCATTTCACATCTCCTGTGCTGAAAGAGCAAACTGATCTCTTTCCAGGACTGAAGATCTTCAAGACAATTCAGTCCACATACAGAAGCTATTCTGAGCCCATCATCCCAATGCCCTGCTCTAAAGCTCTCCAGTTCTACTGCATCCTTTCTGGTTGGAACTGGATGGGCTTTAAGGTCCATTCCAGCCCAAGCCATAAGTTTAACAGTAATGGCCCCAGTGAACACGAGACACAGCATAAGTGACAAGCCTCTATAGCATGACTTTGCACTGCTTTGAGCTCAACAGTTCAGTCAGATTTTAATCCACTGGGCTTCTCACCTATCTAGTCTGTCTTACAGCAGTTTGCCTACCTTATAACAGGATGTTATAAGCACTGAAAGTCTTATTGAATTTGAGATAAACGATATCCACACCCCTCCCCTGATTCTCTGAACTGATCTCCTAACTGTAGGACAACTGAAAGGAGTTTGTGGGGAGGTGGGGTCAGCCTCAGCTCCCAGGTAACAGTGACAGGATGAGAAGGAATGGCCTCAAGTTGAACCAGGAGAGGTTGAAGTTGGCCATTAGAAAAAATTTCCCTAAAAGAGTGGTGATGCATTGGAACAGGCTGTCCAGGGAGGCGATGGAGTCACTATCTCTGGAAGTGATCAAGAGACGCAGTACTGAGGCACATGGTTTAGTGGGCAGTACTGGTGGTAGGTGGATGTTTGGACTTGGTTATCTTAGAGATCTTTTCCAACCTTGGTTAAAGACCATTTTTACTTTGTACATCCATGCTGAACACTCCTTATCATCTCCTCCATATGTCTAGAAGTGGTTTCCAAGATGAATTTCTCCATCCATTTCCACCTTCCCAGGAACCGCAAGAAGAACCCCAGCTCCTCCTCCATGCCTTCTTGAAGACAGGATTAACATTTGCTTTCTTCCAGTCTCACATCTTTGATGTGAGGAGACCAATTCATTTTATAATTGCATTAGGAGGTGAAGACACAGGAAACTGTTGGTCCAACTCTCAAAAGAGAAGAAAGATCAACCACAGACAATGCTAAGTTCAAACTGCAAAATACTTTTTACTTGAGCGATGATTTAAATTGTGTTGCAGTCAACATTCATATCAGTGATAAAGAAGGAAGATCTCAGTACAGAATAGGAAAAGAATAAGACAGTTCACAGGAGCATCGAATACTTAGACATTACACCTGCACTTGGACTTCACCCAAAAGCACTCCAAGCATGTGAAGGCATCTCAAAGTCACTGAGAACACAGTATAGGTAAGACACTGGGGGGAAGAACATGATCACCACTCTTCCTGTTACTAAGGAAAAGAAGATAAAGGGGAAAGAAAAGGAGCCATGGGGTTGGACTAAACCCTGAGAGATCCCTTCCAACTTCAACTACTTTCTGATTCTGTCGTATAGACCTAACACTAACTTAATTCCTAGAGAACTCTGGTATGGTGTCCTTTTAACCAGGTAGAAGAAAATAAGGACATGAGCAGCACACAGAAGAAATTTAGTATATACATCTAAAGACAACTTCCCCTTAGGAAAGGGTATGAGGTCACGCAGATGGAGAAGAGAAAAAAAAAACGACGAAGAGAGATTTAGACCTTCATAAAGATATGCAGGACCTCTTTGTAACTTTGAGCTTTATAAACACATATGAAAAACAGCACCCAAATGAAATTAAAGATAAGTGAGCAATGGATGCAAAGAAAACACCAAACCAATAACTCTGAAGCATCAGCATACATTGTTATTGATAGCTTGAAAGATGGAACAGAATGACAGAACTGAGTTGGAAAGGACCTTTAAAGGTCATCTAATTCAACTTCTCCACAATGAGCCAGGACACCTACAGCTAAACCAAGGTGCTCAGAGTCCAATCCAGCCTGACTTTGAATGCCTTCAGGGACAGGGTAGGCAGTAGATCTCTGGGCAACCTGTCCAGCGCTTCACCACCCGTACCTTAATAATTAACTTTTTTCTTCTATTCAAACTAAGTCTCCCCTCTTTCTGTTTGAAACCTTTTTCCCCCGTCCAGTCACAACAGACCCTGCTAAAAAGTCTCACTCTCACACTCTGCTGCAGCCGCCTTCCATGTACTGACAGCTCACCACCAGGTCTGCCTGCAGCCCCTCCACTCCAGGCCAAACAGCCCCAGCTCCCTCAGCCTGTCCTTGCAGGGGAGATGTTCCACCTCTCAGATAATTTTTGTGGTCCTCCTCTGGGTGCACTCCAGCAGGTCCATGTCTCCCATATCCAGATGCAGCACCAGATGAGCTCCCACAGCATAGAGTGGACATAGAGTGGACGGGCAGGTTCACCTATTAAATCTGCACCTTACATGAACAAACGAGAGTCCCCTTCAAAAAGATAAAAACTATCCAAAAAAAAATCTATTTTTAAGAAGGGCAGAAAGGACAACCCAGGGAGCTAATGACCAATGACCTGTCAGTCTCACCTCAGTGGCAGGGGAAATCATGGAGCAGATCCTGGAAGCTGTGCTAAGGCACGTGGAGGAAAGGGAGGTGAACCCAGCAAGGCTTCACCAAGGTCAGGTGCTGCCTGACCAACCTTCTGGCTTTTTATGATGGCATAACATTGTCAGTGGACAAAGGAAGAGCCACTAATGTCATCTATCAAGACTTGAGTGAGGCTTTTCACGTGGTACCCAGAACATTCTTCTCTCCTTATTGGAAAGATACAGTTTTGATGGGCTTTGTTACAATAAGGGCAGTGAAGCCCTGGCACAGGTTGCCCAGAAAGCAGTGGGTACCTTGTTCTTGGAGACATTCAAGGTCAAGCTAGACAGGGCTCTGAGCACCTGGTCTAGCTGTAGATGTCCATGTTCACTGCAGGAGAGTTGGACCAGATGGCCTCTAAGGACCCTTTCTAACTCCAATAATTCTATATGATAAAGTGATGCAAGGTTGAGAATAAGCAATTGGAAAGTTTAGAGTAAAGATATTCTAAGCAGTGGCATAGGCTGCATTAGGAAGTTCTTGTATTATCACCTCAATTACAGGTTAGACATCTCTGACAGTGATGATTATTTTTTAAAAATCCTATTTTAAAAATGGATTGGATGAGATCTTAAGACTCTTATAGTATCTGAGCTCAAGAACAGGCACTGAAAAGAGTTATCCATGTGGTGAAGTATCTGTTTCAGTTAGAAAAAAAAAGAACAACAACAAAGAATGTTACAATATTCCATAATACTTTTCTCAAATAAAAAGGAGAAGCATTAGTTTCAACAAGAGGATGCCTTACACAGCAAAAAAGAGTATCCAAAGCCAGTCCTAAGCAACTAATAGGGATGAAAGGCTACATGGGCTTACTCGAGCTGAATGTCACAAGATCACCAGGAGTCAAACACCAGGTAAAAAGTAAGTACACCATGGCCCCGAATTCCTGACCCTAATAACCACAAAGCAAGGCAGCAGCATTTTGCTCAGTTTAGAGAACGTGCAGTTATTTCTGTGCAAGAGATTGTGGACTCTGCCAAGCAACTACCTGGCTTCTGGGAGCTCACCAGGGAAGGTCAGATTGCTTTATAGATCTTACCACAGAGGTGATATTGCTGGAGATATCCCTATGATACAGACCAGAGATTGAGCATCACTTTTATGAAGGACATAAGCTAGAATTAGGATGACTTGGCATAAGCAGGTCTGCAGTTTGAGTTTATTACCACAACCTTTGAGTTCTCAACAGGAATGAAAGAGCTGCAACTCAATGATGCTGAATACACACTTTTAATCACCATCAACATTTTCTCTGCAGACTGACCAAACATGCAGAACCAGTCCGTGGTGGATCAGCTGCAGCAAACCTTTGTGGAAACCTTCCTTCTTACATTTGCATCAACAGACCAAATGACCACTTGATGTTTCCAAGGATGTTAATGAAGCTGGTCAGTCTTTAGCAGTGTCCACACCAAACAGGTGTTTGCCACTCAGCTGCAGGACAAAAACTCCCTCCCTGAAATGAAGACCCTTCCCACACATATAACCTTTTCTTCAGAGTCTATCTTCTCTTTTTTAAGATGATCAATGAGCAAATGCCCAGGACCTTTCCTCGCTTGTGGGTTACAAAAACGAATCTGCAGGAACTTGCCAACCCCCTCTATTGAGAGCAACTCAACTCAGAAGGGTTCTGCAGGATCCCCTGTGTGCCTGGACCTGAGGAGATCAGTAAAGTCAAAGTGGATGTTCTAGGGGTCACTGGGTTTCCTTTAAATGAAATATCTTGTACATACTGCCCTTTACAAAGATTCCAAGAGAAGCAGCTGTTATTTCTTTACTGTGAGACTTCATCTCTTGAGTTGTCCTTTTATTCTGGCTCTCCTTTGGAAAGAGGATTCCTCCGGTGGTGGAACTAGATGATCTTTAAGATCCCTTCCAACCTAAGCCACTCTATGATTCTATGATCAACTATGTTCATAATACTAAAGAATACCTATAAATGACTGTAAACCTGTAGCCTTAAAAGCAATCAGCTTAAATTGATTAAACTCCCCCACAGTCTGCTGCCTTTCTCCTGCTGCTACAGTCCGTGCAGTTGTGTCACATCAAACCAACCAGAGAACAGGCTTCTGGGTTGGCTGGTTTTTGGGTTTTGTTTTTTTGTGTTTGTTTTTTTTTTTTGCTTTCAATTGTATTAGCTCTTTTCAGAGGCATACAATCCCAAAGCCAACAAGAGGTGGTAAATATGAACATGGGAAAGGCGTGGGTAGGGAAAATAAAATTCTCCCGTTCCAGGGCAGCTATGGAAATGTTTGATGACCAGCTGAAATTGATCTTAGATTTCTTTTCTTGGATAAACCAGAGACTGCAGCATCTGAATAGCATTTACATCCTTGGATGATATGGTTAACTAACATTGATTTATATGCTCCAAACCCAGAACATTCCTTGGAAGTTAGATAAACCACACACAAATTGCAAGCAATTTCTGAAGGGTCTATACTGTCTCTGTGTAGTTACGGGACAGAAATATTTATTGCATTTGGCATGGAAGTTGCAGTCTGTAAGCAAAAAACAGAAGTGGGTGAGTGCTAGAGCACCAGATAGCAAGCAAATTCTTTCTTTTCCTTTCCCAATAAATTATATACAAAGGTGAACAGCTGTCACATTGACATTTCAGATCTGAAATATAGTTAAGAGCAAGTTATAACTAAGGCAAAGAAAATGAATGTCAGAAAGTTTTGTTATTTCAAATTTCAGATAAGCTCTTTAGCCCTAGGGTTCATCAGAGCTCTGTTTGGAGTCAAGCTCCTTACCAGAAAAATGTTTCTTTGTGTAGTATGTGTGTAAACACGCACAAGTAAGGGTATATGTATGTATTTATATAAATAACATGGCACACCTTGAATTCAAGATTAGCCCCTAGGAGGCCTTCCCTAACAGATCGATACGAAATAAGTTAGGCAGCAGAGAGAGAATCATGCACTAATTGGATTTAGCCTACAAGGATTCTCCAACATTTCTCCCTAAGTGTTAAATCACTTAGAATAGACCTAACACTCCTCACAGAGAAGTTTACTTTAACATGAATTCTACAAACACTGGAAATGTACACGCTCCACACAGGCACACACAAACAGGACGTATCTTCTGATGAAAATCTGTTTTGTAATCAGAATCGTGATTGCTCCATTTGTGGGAAGAGGGAAGGTGGATCAAGAAATATAAACATATTTAGAAATTATGTAGCTCTGAATTCCAAGTTTAAATACGATCCCACAGAGATTATATTCAGAGAATGAAGACGAGCTAGAACATCCTCAGCCACGTTATGGGAAAAAATAAGTTATTTGCAGCTGCACATTGCTTAATAAAATTAAATCAGTCCCATTTATCTGCCTGCCAGCACATGTTTACAAAGTAATAGCACTGCCTCTGCTTCCCCAGACCCCAAAAGGCTGTTTAAGAATCTGTACTTTTATTTCACCAACTCCAAGACATGCCACGGCCTCTGCATCCTCTCCAGTACTTCCAATTGGACCAATCTAGGATCACAAATGATACTATTTTTTGGGCTAACACTTTGAGAAGGATATAAGTTCACAGTGCAGTGGCCAGGACAATAGATACTATACATAATGCAGCATCATTAAGGACAGAATTTCCTTTGATTTGTACAGAAAGCCCACTGCCAGCAAGTCAGAAGTGGGAGCATTTGGTCTCACAGCTGTGAACAAATGATGCATTCAGGAGAACAGGCAGCATTTGAGTTTCAACAGAAAAGTATTCAGTTAAACCATGTATCTCATTTGCTCAGACATTTCATGTGCAGTGCTGAACATCCAAGTCACTTCTCTGTCCCCCATAACAAGAGTATGAAAGACATTTGGGAGCAACAGTAGAAAAAAAGGCTTTGTCAGTCCATTAGCTCTCCAGGCAACTGCCATATTATAGCATAAGGCTCTTACACGATATCCAGTCTTCTCAAGCCAGTATTGTACTTACCCATTTGCTCCACAATTTCAGGTGGAAAAACTCGAGAAGCAAAAGCTCGTCTGAAAATATCTGAGAACTCTTTGTCAAGGCCCCCAATGCCCATTTTCTCAAAATTCCAGTCTGGGTTGATGATGGACTGGCGGTTCTCTTTGGTCTTTGATTTACCTGGAAAAAAAAATAAACCACTTCAAACTCGTGGCACAGCAGAATTACAGTAAATATAATACAAGCACCAAATTGGCTCTACCCAGGGAACCCAGCATTTCACAGAATCACATAGAATTGCAGGGGCTGGAAGAGACCATCGAGCACAAAGCCCCTGCTAAAGCAGGTTCCCTACAAGAGGTCACACAGGTAGGCGTCCAAATGGGTTTTGAGCATCTCTACAGAAGGAGAGTCCACAACCTCTCCTTGTATTTTCATACCTGGCATCTCAGGACTAAGCAGCAATCATATCTGACTGAACTCAGGAGCACTGCTCTCCCACACATCACTTTATGTTTATTTATATTGAATTTCCTCTGCCATTTTCCTTCTTAGCTGCTCAGCCCCATCAGAGCATGCTTTGTCACCTTGTTACTCAGCCTTTATTCCACTTTATTCAATAATTATAACGAAAAGCAAAGGCCCCCAGCAGAGATTCAGGCTGAACTCAAGTGGCACTGGTTATTTACTGCTACCTTTCAATATTCATCCACTTCTGTTTAGTTTCCTTTTAAATAAACATCGATAAGAACTGTTGGAAGAGCTTTAAAAAATAAGCTTAAGAGTACTCAGTGCATTTAGGAGACTGACAGTAAGCACAAATGGTACAGTAAGAATGCAGCTGAGATGCTAACAGCCAGAAACATGTCTTACCTTAAACTGGAGGGGAATTTATGGGCAAGTACTCATATCTGGATCAACATTTCCAAATGGCTTCTCATTAGAAACTAACACTAAAAGCCCAGGGAGGAAACAAATATTCTCAAAATACTCGTTAATCCTTGCTGTATTTGAATGTTTTGTATCCTCTTGTTACACAGTGGCTCTGGGAACAATTAACCACTATATTCAACCATCTAGAAGTCCAATAAGGACACCAAATAAAAGTTTGGTGCTATCTGAATTAGATTGCTGTGAATCTTTGTCTGAAGGTACCTGGAATCAACACTTTAACTCAGAGTACTAGAGCTCTAACCTGTTGGCTGGAGGTGTGTTTGTTCTGTTACACTAACACATAGCTGTGCAGGACAGCAGTGAACATCTGGCTCACTGATTGCTTTGTATTTATCACTGCATTGTCCCACTGCAGTTTTAGATCAGCCCACTCAGCCAGGCATGATCCTAAGTTACCTATCCTGAACTTAGCCTATATCCCCCTCTTCTGGCCGCATCTGATCACAATAAAATTCTCACACATTCCACAAAACCACCATCCATTGGTTTTATAACACATCATTTTATGCAAAGTAGAAGAAATAGAATTGGCATTATTTTTTAATGACCACAATTCTTATCTGCTGAAGAAAATAAAGGCCCTTTATTGAAGCAGCCCTCAATGACATTTTATTTTTATCTTCTCACTCTGAATTTAATTATTCACAACTTCACAATTCTCCAGAGACTAACGAAGCACATTAAGGAGCTCTGCCTCAGATCAGTCAGGAGATTAAATAAAGGAGCAATCTGACAGAAGTAAATTGAGGCATAAGCAACTCTTGTCTTGTCTGCAGGCAATGAAACAGGATCACAGCAAAGGAATCCTATTTCCAATCAATTAACCCTCCCTCAGGACCACTTTCCACACCTTCCCAAGCCAGGAGGAAAGTCACAGGTCATTTCACTGCAGTTGGACTAGATGATCTTTTAGGGTCCCTTCCAACTCAAACCATCCTCTGATTCTATGATTTTAAGGCTTTGAATACCAAGCAAATAAAATATCACTGCTTGTTCAGATGCAGTAAATTGGGTGATGTTAGCACTCACCCCAAGCTGTCCAAACAAAATACAGCAGACAACTACAGAGCACAAATTCACAGCCTCACACTGAGGATAGATAATACTTCAGAATAGCAGCAAAAGTGCCCCGCTACAACTCCTGTAGTGCTCAGTGAGTTAAATTGTACTGTCTGAGCTATTAGCCTCACATTTTACTTCTGAACCAAACCCTCAAAGTACTGAGTGCTCAGAGCCAAGCAGAACTGTCCTTTGAGCACAAACCTACTACAAAAATTGCAAGTCACCCAGCCGAGGTGGCCACGTCCACTGAGCCCTCACAACAGCCTTCCTCCTCTGCCACTTCTTATCTGTGGAAGAGGAGCAGCAAAAGCTACCTGTTTTTTTTCTTTTTCCTGGAGAAAGTAAAAAAGGAAAATAAAGAAGAAAGGGAAGAATGTCGCTCAGTACAGACATTTAGTCATACCAGCAAGGAATGCCTATAGCCATCTAATCACCAAGGGAGGTATTTGCAACACTACACCTGCTAAGTGCTGTCCAGTCCGTAACACAGATAGGAAAAGGAACAGACAGACTAACAGTACATATCTGTTTGGCAGGAAAACCACTATGGCCCCAGGGCACACACAGAACCAATTGTCAGAAGATTCCCTCACTGCTCACTTTGTGGACCAGGTCCCCATCATTCAAACTGGTGGCTCTATGGAAGAAGTCTACATGTGCTCCTTTCTAGGAAAACGTGAGGAGGACACATCAATTATTCCCTTATTTGTTTGCTACTAAAGTCTGAAATTACACATAAGTGTTTTATTAAGGCTTTAGAAAGTGCTTCTTAAGACAAAAACTTCATAGTTTTGTTAATATATTTGCTGTATTGAGTGCAGAGCAGTTAGCATAACCTCTATTCTTCTACTTCAATTTGCTATTGTCAGAGTCTCTTGGTCACTTTTTCTTTCCCAATCTCTACCTGTGTATTTTAAATATGCTGTGGTGGTAAGTCCACAGCACATCCAGCACATCAGCAAGCTGTGGAGCTGCGCATGGGGTGACACAATGACTTCTTTTCAGTCCCTGTAAGGAACAGCAAAGTCTGCAAGATGGACAGTGTAATCTCATTGCAGTGGTTTCCCACAGACATACAGATAAATATTAACTCCTTTCTGAAGGGTCTGGGAAAGGTTCCTAAGGGGTCAAGTACTGTCTCAGAATTTTAAGACATTTCCAAAGGCAGTTTTCAATGGATCAGGTCAACTAATATAAGAAGAAAAACAATCTTTAAGCATACAAGTCTTTGAGGCCTGAAAAGCAGCAAACTTTGAGCGGTATTTCTCTCTTCACATAAAGTGGCACTTACCAATTAGATTGAGAGAGGAATTCTCAGCTTTTTCAAAGGCCACTTGGCTGTTTCCAAAAACCAAACCCACCTCAATCTGAAAAAGAGAAGGAGTCCAATAGTTATGTTAAGCTGTTAGAATCAGCGTCAGATTCTTCTTTGGTATCTCCAAGCAGACCTCAGGAGGAAAGAGCAGAAAGAGCTCCACTACAAAAGTTATTGGAAGGAATGTGAAATAGCAACACCTCCTCTAAAACCAGCTTTAGTAACAATTTGAATGTGGGACTTTGGTGAGCACAATAAGTTGGCTTTTTAAAGTTATTTGTTTAGTTCAAAACTAAATGTTCTATTTTGGCAAGGTCCAGGAGGAGAACAAAAAAATATCTGTACTTCCTACCAAAGGAAAATCAAAATTGGGCATAGCTGCTAGGCTAAAAGGTCCAAGAGAAAAGGCTTCCATTAATTAACATATGAATTCCAAAAGATACTCCTTGTACTTCATTCAGCTCTGCACTTCAGTAGGTGCAACTCCAAGCTGCCATCTACACCAGCACAGGAAACTGAGAACACACATCTCCTCCAAGGCAAAAGCAGTGGCCAGATGAAATAAAGCAACTTCTTCAAATGAGAGTAACCTAAATTCCTCATTGTAGCAGCACCTTATCTGCACTTGAGCCTTTGCAGAACCCAGGGAGTAAATTCCTTTGTCCCCACCTTCTGTTTTTTGCTTCCTCCAGACTCTCCTTTGAGGATGCTGGGATCCATTCCTTCCATGGACTTTACCAACAGGCCAAAAAGTTTGTCATTAAAACTGAACACAAGCTGTGGAAAGAAGAACAGAAGTAGATATGAAGTCATTAAATGTTAAAAACGATTTTGACAGAGCTATTAAGATTGGAAGAAAAAGAGGCTTGAGGACTAAGCTTCCCAAGCAACAAATTCCACATGCTTTCATTGTGTAGAGGTTGAGCATACCGAATGTGTCCTTTTCATATCCCATACTATGCTACTGAGCTTTAATTAAAGCCAACGTTCATTTTACTTTTGTACCCAAGGAAGATATATGCTACTTCTCAGAAGATTCCAGGTGCTCCCATGTTTATATTTACACCCAATCAGGCCAAGATATAGAGAGAACGCAGATTCTTAAACCTCCATTTTCCTTACAAAGATAAATTTCTTTAGCTAAGGAAAAGGAACATCCTAAATCACTCTGCTCCTGCTCTCAGTGGACGTCAGGATTGTTGAACACGTCATTAAGACCACAGTCACACAATAAACAACTCCTACTTCTCGTTCCTCTCTGCAGCTAACATCTAATTATTATTCTTTATATAAGCATTCATTTTACTTAAGGTCATTAGGATATAACATACAAAACCGAAGCCAAAGCACACCTGCTGCCCTACAGAGAATGCCTGGCTGTTGAACTGCTGGATGAACTCAGCAGCCATCTTGTCTGTGTCGTATGGGTTGGAATCAATGTTCTTCTTCTGCAGAAAGTCTATCTCAATCGTCATTGTGCCAATACACTGCTTAGACTTGTCAAAAGTGTACAGGGAAACTGGAAAAAAAAGAAAACACTCATTTCAGAATGCACAGCCAATTAAACATGCTGTAAGTTTGGCAACACACGTTCTTCCATTCTGAATATTTTATGAAATAGAATATCCTACTTCTAATAGAAAACTATTTCCCTTAGTTCCTTCTTTCATTACAACATCAAAAACAAAACAAGCATACCTCTGCTGAAAATCCTGCATTTCTTTAATAACATCCTTTAAATAACATCCTTTAAAGCAGCTCAAACACCACACAATATCTGCAGCTTTGGAGGATGACTTAAGAAAGCTCAAAGGAAACATGTTAAGCCTGAAAAACCACCTGCAAGAGGTCATAGTTGTTTTTTTCAACAGATTGACTAGCTCTTCTCCAGACAGGTTAGTAGAAATGGTAAACTATATTACAGCACTTGAACCCACACGTGCTGTATCAGGCTTTCACAGATCAGAATGAAGCATCAAATACAACAGGTCTGAACTATCTCATGTCAAAACTCGGGGCTGTTGCTGCTGGAAGTAAGACAGAAAATAAAAAGCGTAGATCACAACTTCAGGGCTACTGCCTCAACACAGCTGACTGGAAACACAGGATCTCACAAAGCAAGCAGCACAAGTAACTCACAAACCAGACTACAGCAAAGGACAGAAGCAGAAGAATGAAGTACATTATGAAGTGACAGCCAGCATGGCTTCACAAGGGCAGACTGTGCCTGACCTGATGGAGGCCTTCTTGGGTAGAGTGACAGCATCAGCAGACAAAGGGCAACTGATGTCACCTACCTGGGCTTGTGCACAGCCTTTGGCACAGCCCCAAACCACACCTTTACCCTTCTGTTGGAGAGAGATGGGTTTGAAGGCTGCACTGTTCAGAGGATAAAGAGTTGGTGGGATGGCTGCAGCCACGGGGCTGTTATCAATGGCTTTGTCCAAGTGGAGGCGGTGATGAGTGGTGCCCATCTGGAACCAGAGCTCTTCAATACCTTTATCAACGACAAAGACAGTGGGATCATGTGTTCTCTCAGCAGTCTGCAGACAGCATCAAGCTGAGTGGTGCAGAAGAAGGTACACCAGCCAGAGGGACCAGGACAGGATTGAAGACTGGGCACAGAAGAAACCCATGAGATTCAACAGGGCCAAGTTCAGGGTGTTGGATTGGGGCAATCCCAGATAAGAGTACAGACTGGGAGAAGAGCTTGAGAGCTGCCTTGCAGAGAAGCACTTGGAGATTCCAGTGGATGAAAAGGTGCACATGAGCCTGCAACATGTGCCTGCAGCCTGGAAGGCCAACAGTATTGTGGGCTGCATCAACAGAGGGGTAGCAGCAGGGGGAGGAGGTGAATGCCCCCTCTGCTCTTGTGAGGCCCTAGCTGGAGGACTGTGTCCAAGCCTGGGGCCTCCAGTACAGGAAGGATGCAGAGCTGCTGGAGCAGGTCCAGGGAGGACTGTGAAGATGCTGAAGCACCTCTCCTATGAAAAAAAGGTTGAGAGAGATGGGCTTGTTTAGCTTGGAGAAGAAAAGGTTTTGGGGAGACCCCACTGCAGCCTTTCAGTATAGAAGTAACCTTACAAATAGGAGGTACTTTTGGCACCAGCAGATAGTGATAAGACAAGGCAGAATGGCTTTAAGCTAAAAGAAGGTAGATTTAGGTCAGATGTTAGGAAGAAATTATTTAATCAGAGTGTGGGGAGGCAATGGAACAGGCTACCCAGAGAAGTCGTGGATAACCCCTTTCATGGCCAGCCTTGGATGGGACTCAGGGCAGCCTGATCTTGTGGCTGGCAATCCTGCTCATAACAGGAGATTGGAAATAGATAATCTTTCAGGACCCTCCAACCTAAGCCATTCTATGATTCTAGGTTTGCTTTGAATTTAGAGAAGTTTTGTCTGATACAGAAGTCACAGCTACTGTAAAGCAGTAGGAAGGGAAATGCATTTCTCACAGAATGCCTTATTTGCTGCCAACCCTCCTGGCAATGGTATGGTTTCAGGCAAATCCTGAGACACCTGCTAGGTGCCAGTGAGGAACTCAGCATCAAGCATCCTCTGCCCAAAAGCAAAGCTGCAAGATTCGCTCACCTGGAAAACCTTTAGCATAGCCTCAGAAGCCTGACAGGGCTCAACATCACTGTACCACTACATGCAGAACTCCATTTTAGACTGACATTTAAGGCAGAGCTTTCACATTACCAGGGGAACAAGACAAAAAGGGAGCCCTGGTGAGTCACTCGTTTTGTGAATATATCTCCTGATCTGTAGAATAGCTTTGCAAATCCTTTATTCTCAGCAGGCAGTCATATGACATTTAGTCACTCTGCATGAAATTACTTCAACTGTTTTTTTTTTTTAATGCACATTCTCAAAGCATGAAGTTTTTAGCAGGATCTAGAACAAGCATGATCACAAATCTCCTCTAACAACTGATGATGCTAAATATTAGCATGTAATTCTCCAAATAAAGTTAGTACTACAAAGCATTTGTTGTGGATAGAGACAAACACACCCACTACAGCTTGTCACTACAGAGGAAGATGCACAAAGACTTCAGACTTCTGCAAGTAACGATCCTTCCCCACAGACTTCTGAGACCAAAGCAGCTGGGAAGGTGACCAGCCAAAGAATGGGCTTCATCACAACAATCTTACCAAAGAAAAGTATGAGATGCAGCCCTCGTGAGCACACAGGTAATTCCTGATGGTCAAAAGAATGGGTATGATCCATTACCTTCATCAGTGCTGCAAAGAAAGTGGAGACCTACCCATAACAACAGCTGCTGCCAGGAGTTTGGCAATACTCCAGAAGCTACAGACAGACCAAAGAGCAGCACCTCTAGCCAACAGTAATGCCAACTGTTCAGGCATCACAGGTAGAGTTGAAAGGCAGTAAGAGCAAATGAAAGAGATGCAAATCAGTCCCTGAACACTGGTAATGGCTCAATAGGCTCCATTTATTTGAACACTGGAGTACAAAACCTTCAGTTTGCAAGAACTTGAGATGCAACTCTTTCTCTTCATCAAAATGCAGAATCCTTCACCTCTTGCCAAAATTGGCATTATAGCCCTGAGTAGAAACATACTGTTTAACAGGGCAAGATTTTGTTCAAAAGGGGAGGGACAGCAAGAAGATATAGATTTCACGTTTCCTACAGGTGGTTGTCTAAGAGCTGAGCAATGAACACAGTGAGACACCCAGACAATGACAATCATGTTCTCCAAAGCCACAAGGACAGACTACATGCTCAGTGTTCACACTCACGTGTGGACAAAATATCCCAGTGGTTTTGAGAATGTTAGCAGACAGGAAACCAGCAAACACGAGAGAAGTTCATCTCAGAAATGGGGGGTTCCATATTACTTCAAGTGTTGAAGTGTGGGATTTTCCAATTCAGTTTCACTTCAGCACAGAAACATGGAACTGATTTCTTATACATCGTGCTGCTGTCTGACTCACCGTCTATCTCTTGTCCTATGGAAAGTCCAGCCCATTTTCTCTGTAAAAATAAGAGAGAAACTTAAGAAAGCCTGTCCTTTAATAGAATGTGTCTACTCAGAAGCTATTTAGAAAAACAGCCCCTAACTCCCCACCATGAGAACCTTAAGAAAAAGAGAGCAAAACTGGATGAAGACCCCAAAATTAACAGCAAGTGAGTCAATCAGTTCTATTAATAACCTCAATTTCTGACCTTAGAAGTGATTCTGTCCAACTTCCTACATCTTGCTAATCACCCCACTGCCATGGACACCAAAGTCATCACCCTGTGTATGTCTGGTGATTTTTATTGCTTCCCCCCCCCCCCCCCCCCCCCCATTCTGCTCGTTTTGGTCAAGCACTATTCACAGAGGAGGTAGTGCAATGGGCAAGAACAGTTTTTCCTGATTATTTTAAAAGCTTACATGTGGACAATAGTTGCAGGAAATTGTTACAAAGTGCTTGAAGTTATATTAAAACTTGAAGCAATTAAAACCTGTCCAGGTAATTACTAAGAAGAGAATTTTTCAAACCCATCAACTTCCTTCAAATTCTTTTAAGAAGTTTTGTGTAGCATGAGAAATAAGATACAGTTCAATAATACGAGATGTGAAAATCTATGACCTTTACAATGTCAAAAGTTATTGCTTAATAATTCCAAAAACAGTGTTTTTCCAGTGAACAGATTTTCTGACACAGATTGGCTACTGTGTATTTACTGCCCACTTTTCAGGCTAGGCAATACTCACCATCTCTTAAATATCTCAACCTTAGAGAGAAGTGAATCACAGAAGTATAAAAGTATCATTACACAGGGCTCTGGTAAAATTGCACTTGAAATGCTTTACTTTGTGGTCAATTATGTTTGGCTTTTCATCCTGGAAGGAACAATGACCTTTTTCAAAAATGAAAATCTCCCCCTGAACTCCCTCATCAATATCTTCATGGATCCAAACTAAAATTAGAGATAAGGAAAGAATTCCCTTGGCGTAACAGGGATCAAGCTTTAGAAATGAAAGCCCAGAACAGGAAGTATTTGGTATTTCCAAGAAAGTGAAAACAAACCATGTTTCCGCATTTAATCTCATTCTTTACAGTTTCCACTACTCATCTGCACGGCCAGGAAGAATCCTTCCTTTCCCCTGACACTGCAGTTCTCCAGCAAAAAGATACCCTAAACCCACCTTCATCTGAAGTACCATACCTACCTCATTCCTTATCAGAAGAGCTCCCCCAGACCTACAGTAACTGCTGCAATCTACAAAAATGACCACTGAACAGTGAATGCATCCGTTTCAGCCCTGTGATACAAATATCTTCTATTGATATCTGGTTTTCAGCCTTGGCAGCTTAAATCTCAACTGCACAGACAGTAACTTCACACTCTCCTCACCCACTCATCCGGACAAATATGAACAACACGTCAAAAAGCAAAAAGTAGTTTTGGAGCTTATGCCAAGTCATCTGTTGAGGAAAAAAGCCTTGTGTGTGCAGCACAGACTCTGCTCCTTGACTGGTTACCAGTAGGCAAATACGAAACCAATAGATCAGTGACCTCAGTTGTTGCAGTTCTATGCGTTGAAACTCACTGTGTAAGTCAGTTGAAGTCTCACTTTTCTACTGAGAAGTTAATTGTATCCATTATTTACTCTAAGCATCATTTAACATGCAGTAGCTTGACTTACTTAAGAAAAAGTGAATAGTTACATCTATTTTACGCATTTAATTGCACATCTCCTCTAGAAATATTAACAATAAGCATAGTAATCAAGGAACTTTCCCGCAACACAACATAGAAAAACACTCTAAAACAAAGGAAAACCAGGGAATGTTACAAATTCACCAACAAGAGATGTTGCTTATGGTTTCTTTGTTGAAAGGGTTTATACCTGGGGCAAGCTGAAGGCGATGTTCCCAGGAACAACAGAGGGATGTGTTCTCAGAGTGAAGATATATTTGTGGTTGGGAGAAGTCTTCACAACAACGTGTCTAGAAGAGAGAACAGGATTTTACTCCAACATATACCTACGTGCATTGCTCCCAGGGCTTTGAGAATTAAAAAGAAACAAGCCAGCCTGTACCTGTAACAGAAAAAAAAATGAGGACTTTAGACATATGTTGAACTAGATGGTTTTTAATGTCCCTTCCAACCCAAGTCATTCCATGAAGAGGGCTCTGAAATGAATTCTGCACTTCAAATCTATGCTATGATGCTGGCACACAGATGTCCAACACCTTCAGTGAATATAACATGATCTCAAAGCCCAACTGGAAGACATAACTACTATTTAAATTTCCCCAAAAGCAGCTTTCTGCTTCAGGAATTGCACAATATAGACATACAGAACAAAGCCATAACCACAAAGACATAAAATCAACACCACTTTCACATCTCAGGTAGGTAACATCAAAACTGCAATCTTCAGCTCCAATACAGAGTACACCTCAGATGAGATAGATGATAAAAAAAAAAAATACTACAAATGAATCTCAGTATATTGTTCAGAAATTCAACTGCAGTAAAACAGATGGAATTTCAGTCCAAGATATAAAATCAGAGGGACACTGCAGCTGCCCCTTCTGTCTGTTCACAACCTACAGATTCTCTTGGAACTTGCTCAGGATCTGAAGACCAGAAATAGGACTACTGAATTGGAACAGCAGATGTGCTGCACACAGAATCGTTTGAGTTGGAAGGGACCCTTAAAGGTCATCTAGTTCAATTCCCCTGCAATGAACACGGACATCTATTTTGGCTACACTGGGGATGCATAACAGCTCCAGCTATATAAGAAAAAACATACAGCCCTCTGAAACTAGAGGAAATGCATGGCCTGTGTAGCCAAGATGACCAAACATTGCTAGTCACTGCTTACACATTCAGGGCAGACTCCCTTCCAGGAGCATTAGCTCTTGACAACACAGAAGGAGTAACATAGAAGATAATATAGAAACATTTTAACACTTATCTTCTCTGTCAGGAGACAAGTGGTTTGATTCTTTACCAGTTCTGCCCCCAAATTATCCATGAGCTGCCTAAAACCCCACTGCAGAGATGTCTGCCCTTCCTTTCCATTTATTCCTGCCCAAAGGAGAAACACAGAGCCTTGCTTCCTGTAAGCAAGTAGATGTTAATCTGGTCTTCAAGGAGGATCCAAGGAGCCACAGGGCTGCTCAGCATCACCGTAGGCCTAGGAAGGTGATGGAGCAAATAATCTTGGAAGCCAAATCTATTAAAGGACAAGAAAACAACTGAGAGTAGTCAACATGGATGGACAAAGGGAGATCCTGGCCCCACCTTCAGCCACCAGTCACAGCTCCCATCCTGGAGCCAATACTGAATAAATTCTTTGTTATTGTCAGGCTGATAGTGATTCATGTGATGACTGTGATGCCATTCAGCAGCATTTCTGCAGGCTGGAGACATGGGCTGGCACAAATCCCATCAAGTCCAACAAAGACTTCATCTGGGGAGGAACCACCCTTGCAGCAGCATGACTGCCTGGGAAGTACCACAAAGAAACAAATTATAGTATTACATTTGAGCATTCCATTCATGGAAAACTCCTCCAGAATGATGGCACTGCAGTCAAATGGATGGAGCGGAAAAAAAAAAAAAAAAGAAAAAAATCAGCTTGCTGAAAAAATTATAGTCAAGTGATAAGATTAGAAAAGGTCAAATCCTGACATTCTACAAGGATAGCTGGCACAGGCAGGGACTGATGGTCAGACTGAAGGATCTTACTGGTCTGTTCAGCCTTAACCATCCTATGATTCTTCACAAGGACAGCAGAAGAAGAAAGAATTCCACAAGCTTCAAGCAACTGAAGCATTAAGAAGAATATCCAAAATGTGGCAACAGTAGGAAAAATCAAATGCACTTTCTGACACCAACGTTCACCAGGAGGAAGCTTGGAGAGCTCATGGAGACACAAGGGGAAAACCTCAATTTCTTTAACTGCTTCTGCTTAGAACCTAAACAAAAGGAGCAATGAGTCACCAGATATTTCCCCAAAGGTCTGACTGATGAGACTGCTGCTCTAATTCCCATGCAAAATCTTGCTTGAAACTATCAGCACCAAAGTACTGCTGTAATGCCAGTTATTGGGAAGGGCTCAAGGCTCGATTCAGGAAACCATCAGCTAGTAAGTCTTCTGGCCAGGTTGAGCACAACAGAAACTATAATAAATAAAAGCTAATGGATACACAGGTTAGTATTACGTTGCTGAAGAAAAAGCATATTCCTTGTGCAGAAGAGGGTACCTTACATGTCTTTGCAAGGAACACCATAAGCACATTAAGGATCCAGGAAGCATCTGCTCATGCTGTTATGGACATCCTCCTCTGGTGGATGACTGGAAACCCAAGCAAATCATTCAGCAATGTTTTTCACAGGCTCCTCACATAACTAAACTGGGGTGACACGAGTGGGAAGGTGAATGGTCTCCCCATTAGCAGCAAAAATAGGTAATAACAATTAGTCCCAAAGGGGAAGAAAAAATACACTACCTGCAAATTTTCAAATGCAATGTGGAGTGCTGCAATCAGAAATTCAACTCAAAAGTTTGATCATGTCTCTTTACTAGACTTCTGTCAGGTTTCTTTTACCAGAGAAAGTTGTCTCTCGCTTCATAATCACAGAATGATTTACATAGAAAAATAAGATCAAGTCCAACTGTCATCTGACCTACAGGAGGATTTGGGCAATAAAATACTATTAGTATGCTTCACAGTGAAAAAAGAGAACTTATGCTCTACAGAGGGCTGTTTGGACCTTGATAGGAGGCTTTGAATCTTCCAAAATCGAGCTTTAGACTCCAGCTCAGGGGCTGCATCCCAAAGTGGTGTTTTGATCTCTTAAAATAAGCATTTGATTCCCAAAAGAGTCTTTGGGCCCTAAATAATCACACTCTGTCTCCTGGCAAATGGTTTTGGGTGCTAGAAAGGAGGCTTTGAGCCTTCACAAAGGTGGTTGAGGGGATAATCATTAAAGGAGTCTCTGGACTCTAAATTCAGGCCCCTAAAATGAAGTTCATCCTGTCAGAGAATACCATGGACACCTAAGAGGAGGCTTTGATCCCTAAAAATAACACTTTGGGCCTTAAGATAAGGCTCCAGATCTGAAAAATTAGCCTGCAGGTGATAAAACTATCTTCAGATCCCAAGTAGGCTCTGAAAATAAGGGTTTGGTGCTTAATAACAAGGCTGCGGCCTGTAAAATGGAGCCTGTGGTTCCTATAAGTGCACTTTCTAGAAACTAAGAGAGAGTTTAAAGCTTTAAGAGATTGTTTGTGCCATAAAAAGGAAGGCCTGTTCCTTAAAATGAGCCTCTGAACCCTGAGGCACTGGGTCTTCGAGAAACGAGGTTGGAACCTGTAATTGAGAGAATGGCCACAAGCCTTATTCATGTCATTGCTTTTTGGCAGTATGTACATTGTGAACAACTATTCTCAAAGGATAAGTCACAAGAAGAGTAAAACTTCATGAAAAAACCTCCGATGAGTAGAGAACTCACTAAGAATTGCAGTCACTTCTATAGAACCAGCCTGATGCATTCATTTCATAAAAAGAAGGTCAAATATCCCACTAGTTTTTATGGTTTTTGTTGGTCTCTTTTTTTAATTAAAAAAAAATTGAAGTTTTGTTACTTAGATACATAGTATTATGTATTTTACATGCAGCCCAAGACATTTTATTCACTCAGTGTGGCCCAGATAAGCCAAAAGGGGGGACACCCATGGGACAGAAGCACATCACAGCGTCACCAAATCAACAACACGACCACAAAAATGTACTGCATCCCATGAACTCACACTTCATAAAATCATGATTCATACTTCCCCAACACACAGGGTATGGAAAATAAAGCATGAAAAGATCTATGGTGGCAGCTCAGTGCTAAACAAACACACTAATCTACAGTTGAAGTCCCAGCTCTAGACCATAAGCACCAAATATAAGCATTAAAGCTGAAGCCTGTAAAAGTTACCAAAAAAATCCCTGCAGCCAATCATGAATTGGGCAATACGAACCAGAACTGCTGGCAGCACGCATATTGCTGCAGCAGATCGTAGGGATGGTCTTGCTCAGTGCATCTGCAATGCAGCAGAATGACTACATCTTTCAGTGCTAACTGAATACTGAGACATTTACACTGTAGCCTTACGCTTTTGAAAACAATTTATAGCATTTGTTCACAGTCAAACATATGCTGCCTGCTTTGTAAGCCCCAATTTCTACTAATAGATGGCTCTCAAGCAAGTCCCAGAACACTGTTGCCTGTAGATTTCAATAAATGCAATGAAAGTGTTCTCAGACTGAAAGGAAGAGATCACATCCGAGCAGACAACATCACCTGCTTCCAATCCTAAATGTTTTCCTGGTTTGGGGGTGGAGGGAGAGGTGGTTTGGGCTCTGATGTTTCTTTGGCACTAAAGGTGCAGTGCAGGAGCTCTCTAGGATGACACACTGCACAAAAAGAGCCAAGTCCTGAAACACTGCTCCCTTCCACCCCCCTTCAGAGCCATTCATTCTCCAGCCTCAGCAGAATTTATCTGAGCCCTAAGGATATCATTCAGCATCATTTCTTAACACTGCTTCCCATTTATAAAATTATTTTTAAAAAGCTTTGTCTTTCTCAGACAAATCAAGCACAGATTCAGCTTCCATCACCTGCACAGACTTGTAACTGAAGTACCCAAACTGCTGTGCCCACACTCTGGCTGTCCTGCCCTGTTGTTCTCGTGCATGAAAATCTCTAGAAGCAGAGGCGGCTTACAATGACATTGTTCAGTACTCCAATATGATATGAAAGTGGGAAGGCGCCCCCAGTAACACAATTAAATGATAACAATCTAGCTGAAAATTATCCCAGCTACATAACAGGAACAACAGCAAAAAAAAAAAAAAAAAAAAAAGATGAAAAAGGGCCTGAGTTCCTTCATTAAAAAGTGTTCATAATTATTTCAGCAGCTCTCAAGCTGCAAATACTTCTGAGAAAAAAATACCATTTGTGAGTATCTCCAGTTCTGAGAAAGCACATCTAAAGTTTTGGACTCCAAAGACACACAACTTTTAATTAACCTACTGTATCCAAGCTGTGAAAACTCCTCCTTTTTGGTTAAAAGCTGAAAGACACACTTACTGTCCAGAAGGGAAGTCCGCCTCATTCACCACAGCACAGTTTGTTAATGACAGCTCATCAGTGGGACATCGTGCTGCCTGCATGGGCTGTGAAAGAGAGAGATGGGAGAATACATCAAATAAAGCCATACTTTCCCTTTATGTCTCATAACTTCTGTAAACCCATCAGAAATTAGGTCCCATGAGAGCATAGTCCATTGTCACTGACGTCCTCTTTTCTTCATTGGTTTCTCCAAGCTCCTCCACTCAACAAAGATGAAAAGATGACTGTATCCAAAAGCTCTGTCTAGAATGCCTCCAGGAATGGAGAAAATGATGGAGAAGGCACGATATCCCCATGGCCAGCCACAGACTGAAAATTTTAATTCAGAGCCAAGCCAAATATGATCCTGCAGGATGCTATTTCCAGAGACCAAACCCAACTATTTTCTTTGTCAGACACAATTTTGCAGCCAGAGCAACCATTTGTCCGTGTCAACTTATTGATAATGGCAATTCCAAGTGGATTTTCTCTTATACACACATATCTGAATGGTTTCCCATGAGTTAGCATCACAATCAACACTCAGCCCATCACACCCCAGAACTCTGAGCCATTTGAGAAAAGAACCACAGTGAATTCATCTCCATGTGGACTGGAGCAGCTTTCTGGGTAACACTGCAATCCCTCTAGAGCCATACCTGTTTGGAAATGGATTCATTCATTATTTTGTAACACTTAGCTGCCCTGTGACATTCTGGTTTCAGCCTTGAAAATGGCTTTATCTACCCAAATCTGAATAGTAGTGAGAAATTTAATGTTTTTGTCATAAAGGACTTCAGTGGACTTCCAACATACACAGCATGTCTGGGAAAGCTCATCACATTTCAAACCAAAAAGCATTCACCAGGTGATCAGTTCTCCTTCAGGTTTCTGAGAGCAATGCAGCAGGTAGGATATTTCTGGACAGAACCACACACTGAGCTCCTGGATTAAGCCTCTTTACAGCACGAGTCCTCAAATGCATTTTTAATCCTTCCTGGCACGTTGCTTCCTACACGAACTGTGAGCTCTGCTCCTCTGGGTTATTTCTGTGCTTTTGGGAACGTGCAAGCTTTGCTGTAAGCAAATGCAGAATATAAAGGGATGCACTGCAAACCCAGCAAAAGTGCTCCTCTGGCAAGCTGTACAACGTGATAGAGGTGTGGGGAAACGCAGTTCCCTCTGCAGCAGCACCATGCCAGCCATCCCACTGCCCACATTTGGGGCTCCAAATGCCCCTTAAGCTTAAAGGAATAAAAGAAGCCCTCTCTGCCTCCAGATGTTGCACTGATTTATCTAAGGACGAGACTCCAAGGACAGAGGACCTCTGTGGAGGTGACTCCACATTCCAGGCTGTGTCTCCTTCCTAGAGCAAAAGAAATCCATCACGCAGCTCCAGCACTGCAGTGCTGCTCCTAAATCTGCACCCATGCCAGCAGCCCCTCTGTTTGCCAAGAGAGAAAGGAGACGTAAATGTCATGATGAGAGACAAACGTGTAGGACCTCACCCTCGGATTTATGAGACATCAGCAATGCTGTCTCCATTCCTCTGCTACTGAACTGATGCAAAACGTGAAAATCCAGCACCAGGGCATGAAAATACAGCACCATGCTCAATGATTCTGGCATATTTTGCAAAGTAAAAGAACAAATAGCTCCACAACAAAAAAACCACCGTAATGTCCTAAATATCAGAGAGGTTTTTTTCTTTCCAAAGTTCCACGGATTCCTGTTTTCCTGCAATACAACACAACACAACACTGAATCATCCCTGCATTTTGGAGAGCTCAGCCCAAAAAGCAGAGCTATTTGGGTTTTTCATCCACACATAAAAACACACTTTCTCATCCTGAATTTCAAGACCAGCATCCTAACAAAAGGCAAAAGCAAAGCACTGCACTCACTTCAAAAGGGAACGAATACTAAAAATCTTTGCAGTATTGCAGAATAGCACCGTGGGTGAGCACCAAGTACAACAAGATGGGTAATATTTGTGATCTGTACGGCTGCTGACAGAGGAAGCTGAAGAAAAACATGTCTCCCGTTAGTCAGACTCCACAGAAGATTCGTTGGTGGCACACAATAGAAGCACACTGCTACCTGTCTGCTGAATATGGGAGCTAAAACATTACACAGCATGGCAAAGATGCTCTTCATTTGGAACAGCTTAACTCATTTCATTTCCTAATCCCACCCAGGAGATTATCAAACAGCTCCTACAGCTGAGGCAGGTTTTGCTCTCTGCTAAGCAGACACGCACGAAGCTTTGTGTTCAGTACAGTTTGCACCAACGGATCGAGTGGCAACTGAACCTGAGGAAAGAAGTGAGAATAAACGAGCACGGGAAGCACAAGCAGCAGGAGAGTGCTGCACACAGATGGCAAACAGCAGCACAGCGTGCAGGAAGACGAGCTGAGCAGAGCTGGGTCAGCAATGGCCTGGGAGAAGGAGACAAATTCAGCTCTTCCAGCCTAGGAAAGCCTGCAGAGAAAGCATTCTCCTGTGACCCAAACCACACACGGCTGCACCAGGAGAAATCCAGGTCACCAGAGTTATTGCACACCTTCTCCTGGACCACATCAGAGCACGGAATGTTTGAAAACAAAGCATCAACCAACCTTTCCGTGGGGCATCCTGCTCTTTTCTTGCTGAGATAACGACGAGTTGCCCTCAAAACAGTTTCTGCAGCAGCCTATGATTCACACACCCTACGGGTGAGCACTGAAGCCAGAACAAGGCTGGCAGCACACACTCCGGGCACATTCACCATCTCAGCAAAATCAGAATTCGTAAACATTTACTCTATTGCTTCGGATATGAACAGCAGTCTAACCTTCCTGACCTAACAATCCTGAAATCACTGCAGCAGCCACATTTCTACCACAGCCTACAAGGGAGCAGACATCCTTCAATGTCAGAACTGTTGGGTTTTGGTTGTTTTTTTTTTTTTTTTTACCTTTCTACGAAGACCCTGTGTTGGTGTCATTAGTGACCCATCACACCTCGCAGAACAAAATGTGTTTTGGTTGAAAATACACCCTGAGCAACTGTAAAAGCAAATGACTGCAGCTTCCTTAATGGAAGACGCAGCCTAAGGAGTCACTGCAAATCTCTGCAGATTGCAATTATAAAGATAAAAACCTACAGACAAGCAAAAACTAAAGCTTTAGTTAAAAAAAAAAAAAAAAAAGAAGATACAGCACTCAAATTTTACAAAATTTAGTGCAAACTTTTAGTCTGCAGAGATGCCAATTAGCAGCATTCCCCAGCAGACAAGGCAATGCACACACGTGAGCTATTTCCTGACCCTCTGAGGCACACATTTACCAGGGAACACACTCAGCCTTAAATGCTGCATCTCTAAAACTAAAAACGGAAGAAGAATCACTAAAGTAGTTAACAGTTTGCTGAAGGTTTTCCTGGACATCTGAAAAAATGAAGCTTCCAAGTTGCAGCTCAGGAGGCCCTTCTGTCTGCTCCGTGTGGCCTCAGTCTGCTGGGAGCTCTGGTTCTGGGTGGGGGGAGCTGCATTCTCCCTCTTTAAGAAGCTCATAAATGGCAATTTTCTTCTCCTGTTAAGAGAGGAAAGTTAAGATCTCAGGACTAGCATTCCCCTTTTTGCTAAGGCATGGACACACCTCCATAAGGAGCTGAGACAATCTAGAAATTACTCCCATTTCCCCCACAAAAGCCATTTTATTGCCACGGAAGTGCCAAACCCAGCAAGGAGAGGTCGTATCTTTGAGCAGGGCAGTGACTGCTCTCACTTTGTTTGCAAAGTTTATAGCCCAACGCGTTCAGTTCTGCAGGGACTTTGCTAACTCCAAAGCTGTTTCACTGGGTGCACGTGGCTTTGGGAACTTGGATGCACTCTAATCCATAACTTTGTTATTAGAAACACAGATCCAAGACTGAGAGGTTTGCCAGATTAAAAGGTACATGAGGACCTGGATGCACATTTCTTATTGTTTGTTAAGAACAAATACTCAAGGCAATAGGGACAAGGTTAAAAATGCCCTCTTCACCTGGAATTTGTTCGAGGTGCTGCCATCCCTTGCTTATCCACAGCTCCCCCCACCTGATTATTCCAGGACTAATTATTCCAGCAGTAATTATTCCAGGACAATGGCTGCTGCACCCAATTATAAGCAGCCCACGTTCCAGACCCAACACCTCACCAGCAAAATCAAATGATACAACTTCAGGGCATAACTTACTCCAGATTTTGTGGCAGAAGGTCATTGTTTTATTGCATCCCAGGAGAGCAGAGCAACGTGCTCCATCTTCCTGTGCTGCTCACACTTGGCCCCTCTGAACTGTCTGTCCTACATACACATGGAGGAGTGTTCCAGCACTGCAGCAGGGTCAGGGTGCCTGAAGTGCTGCCCGGATTCAAATGAGATGCAGCATCAGATGGCTGCAGCTCACAATGACAGGATTTGTTAAGAAGGCTTTTCTATTAGCCATAGCAACATCAATAATTTTATTTGACTGAAAATCCTGTCCTGCCCAATGGGCATTCCAGCAAAATGTATATTTAGCTGCTTCCTAAGGACTGGATTTCTGTGGGCTCAGGCAGAGCTGATGTCATGAAAGCATGAACTCACCCCAAGCTGCAACTTAGGGCACTTCCCAAACCAAATCTCCCAAATAGGATCCTTTCCTAAATGACCTGCTAGAACCCAGGATAGGAAGATCTTGCAGCATCCCCCAGGCAGAGAAGGGAAATTCTTTATTAAAAGTAGTCATCCTGGTTGCCCGTGGCAAGAAAAGAAGTGACATTCCCCTGGTTCTGAGGTTGTCGAGAGTGGTCAGAATCACAGAATCATTAAAGTTGGAAAAAACCACTAAGACCATCATTCCAACCATCCACCTACACCAACACTGCCCACTCAACCTCTGCCAGTTCCTCAGCACCCACGGGTGGATCCCATCCAGCACCTGTGGCAGTGCAGGTGGAGCAGCAGCTCTCTAACTGTTCCTGCCTGAACCACTGGGGGTTTATTCTGCTCCTCATCCCAGGCTTCCAAGTCAGGGAGTAGAGAACCTCAAGGATAGCTGATCTGACTATTAACGACAGACATAAAGAAGGCATTGAGAAGCTCAGCCTTTTCCTTATCCGCAATGGTCACATCCTCCTCCACACCCATAAAGGGCAGAGATTCTTCTTAGTGTTACACTGACATTTCCCTGCTGCTCTTTAACTATTAAGGTTTGGGGACGCTGTTCCTACAACACTAAGCCAAGCAACAAATCAATCCAAGGTGACAAGGCCAGACATCCCACACCACAAACACACTCTGATGGCCAACAATTCCAAATAATCCATCGTGGATTTCTGTAAAGCAGAAGTTCTGTAAGAAGCAGCAAAATGTATTTGCAGTGATTTTGCAAAACAGGTACGGAGCTGCAAAAAGTGACCTCAGACAAAGACATTTCAATTTAGTTTTCTTCTGTTCCCCTAAAGCATGGCTAAAATCCTATTTCTTTGAAAGCACTAAAAAATGTAAGCAATAGAAAAATGAACGCCACACTGCAAGAAAGAACTAAATTGACAAATGGTTCCATACTTGCCTGATGACACCTGCACCTATGAAGAATGATTACCACACATTAGCTGAAAGGAGGAGAAATTAGAATGTACAGCTTTAGACCAAAAACACAAATCCCAGACTCAGCCTCACAAAGCATCCTACCTAAATCTACCCTTTGATGTACTGCTATGAGCACAGCAGAGCATGCATCAGCACACAGTTCTGTAACGTGAGGGACCACAGCCTGTCCTTCACTGCAGTTCTTACAACTCTGCATTCAATCTCTTTGATAGCTGATTTCAACAGGTATCTGCAGAGCATCTCCTGCTCGGGTCACTGGTGCTTCTGGAGGGATTACAGTACAGTTCTGCAAGACAGACCAACATCTGCTATCAATGGAGTAAAACCAAAATCATTTCCAACCACAGATATGAGAAGCAAACAGGCCAGTGCCTCCCAGCCCTGTGCAGACGGGAACAGCACTTCATGCCTAACTGATGTCCCTGAATCACAGAAAAATGATGGTGGGGTTATACAAGTTGCAGCTGTTGCATAACTGCAGCCACGCTGCTCTGCTTTGCTTCCTGCACCACTCCATGCAGCTCTCCATTCTGGTGCAGTACAAGCTGAAACACAGTGCTGGACCAACTACTTGATGCTGACTGGAACAGGGCAGAGAAGTCTCTGCACGAGCCACCTGCAGCTCTCTCTGTGCATTCTCCAGGTTCAGGCATCTTTAAATAACATTAACCAGGGGAGAGCATCAGTGCTCCAGCATCAGGCTCACCTGTTGTAATGGGGATATCACACACCTCCATCCTCCCACACACTGCTCCTTATTTATACAGACCAGCATCCAACGTGACACCGAACCGTGTGCTGTTGGTTGCTCACCTGACCTCTGCATCATTCTCCTGCTGCCATCCCACGTTCCTTTACACATTAAGGCCTTTTTGCTGATTTTAGCTAAGCAGTCACCAATAGGATTTTTTTTTAATTATTTTTTAGGAAGTACACGATAAAACCACTGCACAGTCCTTAAGGTGTGTTTTAATACGACATAACCTGGACCCACATTCAGTGCTCTCGGTACCCACAAGGATGAGGAGCCAGCAGGAACCCCACAGGTCTGCCCCATATCCCAGCAGGGTCTCAGGGAACCCTAAAACTGCCCCACATCCCATCTCAGGGAACCCTAAGAACTGTCCTATACCCCATCTCAGGGAACACTACAAACTGCCCCATATCTCATTTCAGGAAACCCCATAGACCTGCCCCACATCCATCTCAGGGAACCCTACAGAACTGCCCTATACCCCATCTCACGGAACCCTACAACCTGCCCCACATCCCACCTAGGGGAACCCAACCCATTGCCCCATATCTCATTTCAGGAAACCCCACATCCATCTCAGGGAACCCTACAGAACTGCCCCACATCCATCTCAGGGAACCCTACAAACTGCCCTATACCCCATCTCACAGAACCCTACAAACTGCCCCACATCCCATCTCACGGAACCCCAAATCCTGCCCCACAACCCCAGAGCAGAAGGGCTCCCACAGCCCCCTTAGGGGACCCTAAAATCCCCCACAACCCAGAAGGAACCTCGCAGCACCCTACAGCACTCGTCTAGGACCCCACAGACCCCAGATCTCCATTCCCCACAACCAAAGGGACACCACAGCACCCTTCGGTTCCCCCTCAGGCTGCGAGATCTCACCCCAACGCCTAGCGAGGGGCAGAAGGGAGAGGACAGAGCCGGAGGTAACGAGGCGAAGCATCCCACAGCTGGGCAGGAGGACGAGAAACAAACCATCCCCCCGCTCCCCCCCTCACTTACCCGCCCCGCCATCTTGTCGCCTCACACCGCAGCGCAGCGCCATGGGGCGGTGCTGCGCATGCGCGGAAAGAGGCGGAACGGACGGGAACAGAGAGGCTGCGGGTTCGAGGCTGACCTCGGCCGCGTGCGGTGCGGGGCTGAGCGTGCGGTCAGGCGGTTCTGTTTTATGGCCCACAGCGCCGTTACTGAGCGCCAAAACCTTGTCTTCAGGGCACTTGGGAACCAAAGGCACTGTTTTCTTACCTGCTGCCTAATTTTTCACACCTGAAGTCTTATTTTAGGGCCCAAAGCATTATTCTTATGGTGCAAAGCCTCCCCTTGGGCATCCATGGCGTTCTCGGACAGGACAAACTTCATTCTATGGGCCAAGGCCTGAATTTTAGAGCCCAAAGTCTCCTTTAACAGCCAGGAAAGCGACAAACCCACCCCAAAACCCACCTCAAGCAGCCCTACAACCTGCCCCACATCCCAGCACAGGCAACCCTACAACCTGCCCCACATCCCAGCACAGGGAACCCTTCAACCTGCACCACATCCCAGCACAGGGAACCCTACAACCTGCCCCACATCCCAGCACAGGGAACCCTACAACCTGCCCCACATCCCAGCGTAGGGAACCCTTCAACCTGCCCCACATCCCAGCACTGGGAACCCTACAACCTGCCCCACATCCCAGCACAGGGAACCCTACAACCTGCCCCAACACAGCTCTGTATCACAGGACCCATCCTTCAGGACCCGCTTTTTAAGGGCTTTTTTTGATGGTGTGTGCCAGCGGACAAGGGAAGAGCCCCTGATGACATCTATCTGGACTTCAGCAATGTCTCCATAACATCACAGAATCACTGAATAGCAGAATGGTTCAGGTTGGACAGGACCCTAAAGACCACCCAGTTCCACCCCAGTGCCACATGCAGGGCTGACAGCCACCAAACCAGGCTGCCCAGATCCCCATCCAACCTGGCCATGAATGTCCCCAAGGCACCCACAACCCCTAAGTCCTTCTCTGCAGGGCTGCCCTCATTGAATTCTCCTCCAGCCCGGACTCCTATCTGGGACTGCCCCATCCCAACACCCTGCACTCAGCCTTGTTAAACTTCCTATTCAAACACACTATGCTAATAGCATCTTATCATGCTTTGGTTTGCCTACAAATTAGAGGTCTATGCAGATCTAAAAGCGCAGAGCTGCACTCCCAGTCTCCTAACACGTGCCAAGCCCTGGAGTTAAGCTCATCCTTTGGTAGGGAGGCCTTGGGGCACGTAAACCAATTGCTCAGCCTTTGCTTGGAATGCAGCCATATTCTGCCCATGCAGGTCCCGTTTCCCCGTGGTCTGCTCCCACTGACTCTTTGCAGCCAGACTTCTGGACGTGGATTTTTATGGGGTCCACCTCCTGGGATTTGGTTGAAGCAACGCTTTGCTCTTCAGAATAGATCGTATTGGGCAGCCTGTCTCACGCTGAAGATGAAAAGCGCCGCATCCCCCAGTGTAACGTTCTGCGGGAGAATGAAATCCCACTTGTGGTCTCCTGTCTTGAATTAGCTTTGAAGGAGGAAGGCAGCAAGTGATTGGACTCCAAAGTGAGGTTCGATACTGTCTCCAAAGCTGCCCTCAACGGGCTGGAAATCAATTCTGGGCACGAGCTGCGGTGCATTAGCAACCTGTTACATCAACTTCCTGAGCAGGGCTTCAACAACATCATGAAATATTAACACTGATTTAACTGCCTTGAACAGGTAGTAATGCAGTGGTAACGTGGCAAGGCACGAGGAGCTCCTGCAAGATGGAGGTCCTCTCAGGAGGATGCTTTGTGCACAAGTTCAGTACCACGCTCTGCACCCCAGCACCGAACTCTGCCCAAACAGCACAATTAGGGGAAGTTTTCTCACCGCTCTGAGTTTCCCAAAGCTCTCTGCCCTATGGCCTTAAAAAGTCTTCCAGAAACAAGCACAAGAAATATGACCTCTGCAATCTGTAGAGAGGCAGTCCTGCCATGGACCATTCAGCAACTCGCACCCAACCCACACTGCAGTTCTGTAACACCAAAGAACCCGGCTGACAACCAGGCTGCCAGACAGGCTTCATTTTCAACAGCTCTTCCTACCTAAACTGAATGTGTTTATGGCTCCTGATAGATGGTTCCTCATTGTGTGCAGCTCATTTTGATAGACTTGATAGGGAATGTGAAGTCTCAAAGACACAAAATGCGAAGTAAATCATGCAAAATCCAGCTGCTGGCAGACAAACCCTACTGAGTCAGACTCTGCCCACCCTCAGCAAGTTTGCTCACGATACGAAGCTGGGAAGAGTGGTTGAAACACCAGAAGGCTGTGCTGCCATTCAACAGGACCTGAAGGGCTGGGCAGAGAGGAAGCTGATGGGGTTCAACAAGAGGAAATGCAGAGTCCTGAACCTGGGGAGGAACAGCTGAAGCATCAGTACAGGTGGGGGGGCTGAGCTGCTGGAGAGGAGCTCTGCAGAGGAGAACCTGAGGGTTCTGGTGGGCAGAGGTTGAGCATGAGCCAGCAGCGTGCCCTTGTGCCCAAGAAGGCAAAGGGAAACCTGGGGTGCAGTGTGTAGAGCGTGGGCCCTTAATGAGGGTGGAATCTTCTCGGTGGCGTGCAGCAATAGAACAAGGGGCAATGGGCAGGAAATGGAACACAGGAATTTACACACTAACAGAAGGAAGACATTCTTTACTCAGAGAGCGTGACAGCACTGGAACAGGCTGCCCAAAGAGGCATCCTGTGCAGTCTCCTTCTCTGGAGATATACAAGACATGTCTGGATGGGATGCCCTCCTGTGTGACCTACTGCAGGCAACTTGCTTCAGCACGGGGGGGTGGACTGAATGATTCTACGGATCCCTTCCAACGCCTACAATTCTGCAATTCTCTTCAGATTCAGGGCCAAAGAGAAGCACGCTGCGCCTGGTCCTGTGTCCCAGCAACACGCCATCTCCCTGCTTAAACAGGGCCTCGTGGAGCTCTAGACAGGATGCCAAAAATCTTAATTTAGTTAGTACTCAAATAGACTCCTTGATGCTCCAGAGAGGTGAGAACTGGTCCTTTTGTGTGGGGAAGCACCAAAGAGCATCTATTAGGCAGAGAAGTGCCAAAGAACAACGTATAGGTAGATGTCAGAGCAACGTTTGTACCCCAACATCAATACCACCTATGGGCAAACTGTGCAGGACTCACAGGTGGAACATTAGATTGGAGGTGCACAAACAGGCGGGAAGATTGTGGATGCTGTATGAACGTTAAGTTCTTTGCTATGAGAGTGGTGAGGTGCTGGAACAGCTGCCCAGAGGGGCTGTGGATCCCCGTCCATCCCTGGAGGTGTTCAAGGCCAGGCTGGATGGGGCCCTGGGCTGCTATGAAATGTGGAGGTTGGTGGCCCTGTATATGGCAGGGGGTTGGAGCTTCATCATCCTTGAGCTCCCTTCCAACCCTGGCCGTTCTGTAGTTCTGTGATGTTCCTATGTCAGCTAACGAGGTGATTTATCTCTGGGATACGCGTGCTTTGTGGAGAGACCCCCACACACCCAGCGCTGTACTAAACCAGCCGTGGCTTTATGAACTGTCATTTGCCCCACGGCCCAGCACAGCTCAGCGCTGCCCTCCGCTCCCTGTGAGGAGCTGCGGCCGCCATGAGGCTTTTTTCCCTCAGCTTCCTCTGCTCCGGGCCCAACACACCGCGGGGCCTTAGCACTCCTCAGAGTCGTGCCCTCAGACCCAACCCCATTTTGTAGCCCGGTCTCCCACAGAACTGATAAATCAAGGCGGCTGAGCGCAGCGCTCCCCCACGCTCCGAGCCGCGAGGCCGCACTGAGGCGTCTGAAGACGCGGCGCTATCTCCGGGCGAACAACGGCCGCGCGCTTGCTGATTGGCTGTTTTCCAGCCGATGAGGGCGGGCTGAGTGTCAGCGTAATTTCTCATTGGCCACACCTTGGCGGACGAAGGCCAATAGAAATAAAGCGCAGTTACCATGTGACCGGCGACGGCGTCCGTTGAGCCGCGTGGAAAAGAAAGGCGGTCACGTGGCGCGGGGAGGTGTGAGGAGTACGTCGGCTTCTCATTGGTCGGCTCGCTGAGGAGCCGGCCAATCCCGCTGCGCGCGCGGGGCGGGGCGGGCGGTTGCTCCTCTCTGAGGTAACGGCGCCTCAGAGCTGTTGGGGCGGCGCGGGGGGAAGAGAGCGGGCGGTGGCAGCGCTGTGTGAGCCGCGGTCTGCGGGCAGCATGGAGGTGAGGGGCACCGCACCGGGCTGGGGAGCGGCTGAGGGGGCTGCGAGGCGGGGTGGAGCGGTTGGGTCTGCGGAAATGTTGCTGTTAGAACGTCATCGACCGGTTGAGGCTGCCGGTCACCCAGCGGAGCTGTGTCTCTGTCAGGGGAGTTGCCTGAGGTTCCGTGTGGGAAAAGGGCTGCGTGTGGAGGCAGGGCGTCACAGCCGGCCGAGGCTCCTGCTGCTGGTGTGTTTACTCATTATTTGCTGTTTTGAGATGAAAAGCCATACAACTGCGTAACGTGGCATAATTTGTATAAAAAACAGCTGTTTTTCACCCTAATTTCCTGTGCGTGCTTGTAATGTGTGTCTGAGAATACCAGTATAAGTGCTGGTAAGTGGGGAGGTTGTCCTGTTGGCCACGTTGTCATCGTGTGGAGATACAGATGGACGGCTGCTTGGAGGAGGGCTGGTTCAGAATGGTGTCAGAGCTGTGGAACTGGGCGTTCTGAGTTTAATAATGATTTCAGAGTGGAAAAGGCGATGAAGAACTACGAGGAGCTGAGGGAACTGAGGCTGTTTGGGCTGGAGAAAAGGCCGAGAGGAGAATGTACTGCTCTCTACAACTGCCTGAAAGGCTGCAGGGTGGGGGGTGTTGGGCTCCTGAGGGATCTGGAAGCGTTGGATCGTAGATTAGAGTCATAGGATCATCTGAATTGAAGGGTTGCTAAAAGGCCATCTGGTCCGGCTGCCCTGCAGTGAGCTGGGACACCGTCAGTGCTCAGAGCCCATCTAGCCTGACCTTGAGTGTTTCCAGGGATGGGTTGTCCACCACCTTTCTGTGCCAGATCCTTGCCACCCTTACCATAAAAACCTTTTTCCTTGTGTATTATGAAAAAGGGGTGGCCACCAGGGACAGGGAGGTGATTGTCCTCATCTACTCAGCTCTTGTGAGGCTCCATCTGCAGCACTGCATCCAGGCCTGGGGCCCTCAGCACAGGAAGGACGTGGAGCTCTTGGAGGGGATCCAGAGGAGGGCACTAAGATGATCAGAGGGCAGGAGCAACTCTCCTGTGAGGAAAGGTTGAGGGAACTGGGCTTGTTTAGCTTGGAGAAGAGAAGGCTCTGGGGAGACCTCACTGTGGCCTTCCAGTACTTGAAGGGTTCGTATAAACATGTGGGGGAGCAGCTGTTTATGAGGGTGGATATTGATAGGACAAGGGGGAATGGTTTCAAACTGAGACAGGGGAGGTTTAGGTTGGATATGAGGAGGAAGTTTTTTAGCCAGAGAGTGGTGAGGCACTGGAAGAGGTTGCCCAAGGAGGTTGTGGATGCCCCATCCCTGGAGGCGTTCAAGGCCAGGTTGGATGTGGCTCTGGGCAGCCTGGTCTGCTGGTTGGCGACCTGCATATAGCAGGGGGTTGAAACTAGATGGTGATTGTGGTCCTTTTCAACCCAGGCCATTCTGTGATTCTGTATCTAATCTAAATTTGCCCTCTTTTAGTTTGAAACCGTTTCCTCTTGTCCTATCACAACTGACCCTGCTAGAGAGTATGTGCCCTTCTTTCTCATAGCTCCCCTTTAGATACTGACAGGCCGCTCTCAGCTCTCCCCAGACCCTTCTCTTCTCTGGGCTGCACAGCCCCAGCTCTCTGCCTATCCTCACAGGGAGGTGTTCCATCCCTTGGTCTGGATGGGATGCACAGAGATGGTGTCAGGCTGCGCGAGGGGACGTTGAGGTTGGGTGTTAGGAAGGATTTCTTCGTGGAGTATGTGGTCCTGCACTGAAGGGGCTGCCTAAGGAGGAAGTGGAGCCTGCAGCCCTGGTGCTTTTTGGGATGTGGTGTAGCGATGGGGTTGGTGGGTCAGGCAGGTGGTTGGACTTGGTGAAGTTGAAAGGTTTTTCTTACTTAAGTAACTGTAGGTGCTACAGTTATCTTTTAAATATTACACAAGTAATATCACTGCTTTATTTCTCAGCTGTTTTTGTTTTTTTGTTGTTGGTTTTTTTTTTTTTTTAGCTAGTTGATTTTATTTTAATTATGTTGTGTGCCTCAGCATTCTGAAAAGGGGAAGAAAAACCAAAGCTCTTGCTTTGTTTTCATTGCCTTTTCCCACTTGGTAATTATTTCTGAGCACATCCAGGTAGATGATGGGGAGAAGGGTGTTTCTTAGGGGGAAGAATCCACAGGTAAGTTAGTTAAATAAGTTCCTTATACCAATGAGATCTACACTTCAGGTTTATGTATAATTATGTCCTTTTACCACTTTTTCCCCCTCATCTTTTGTAGCCTAAAGTTGTGTGCAGAGGAAGCAGCTGCTGTTGGAGCAGTGCAGAGGCTGGCAGCAGGCTGGCAGATGTGTTCAGCAGTGTGATGGCAGAGTCTGGCTCACATGGCTGCTACAAACCACAGGTTCAGTTGGTTATATATAAAATTTGTATATCTTTGTAAGCATTTGGGGTGTTTGTAAACCAAGTGGTCAAAAAGATTTCTAATTTTGTTGCTGATAATGTATAAATCAAATGCTGTAACTTATAAGTGTAAGGTTCATCAGAAAAGACAGGAACTTAAATGTAGTCACAATTAAGGCTGTTCACCTGTTGTGTATTTCACCTTTTGTTTTCTCTGTTGTAATTTTTTGCCCAATACCATCTGCTGTGTTGTGATAGATTTTGAAGTTTTCTGTCATCGCTGCTGTACTCAAAATTTCAAGAGAACTCCCCCATGAGAGAGATTTTAATTGGAGGAGTGCTGCAGAATGACGCAGGGCCTTCTCCCCATCTTTCCTTCTTTCTGGTAACCTCTGTAGTGCAGGAATTTCAGATAAGCCTTCTGCTTTGTTCATTTTGTGCTTTTTCTCAGTCCAGTGACTGAACATCCCAGCAGAAAGGGGGCTGACAGCAATGGAAAGAAGGAAAGAGTAGATGAGTCCATTGACCTTCTCACATTTATGAGAAAGAGTGACAGAAGATAGATGTTTATGTAGAAAGCTGGTAAATAGGTGAGAGGGAGCATGAGCAAATGAGGGGAGAGGAGAAATTAGTGCTCTAGCTCCAGATGTGCTAGATTTAGCTGAATACATCATGAAGGAGTTAACTGTTGGCATACTGAAACATGGAAGTAATTAGGGCAAGCAGAAGGAAATGGGTTTAGAATAAAGGGAGGTGTGTAGAGAAAGTGTAGTCATAGAAGTTACCTGTACTGAGCTGACCTGGGAAAAGAGTAACTGAAGAATGTAACAGTTGGAGGTGCCTATGTGAAGAGCAAGAATAGTGAAAAGTTGGGGGAAGTAAAGAGTAAAGAGTCATGGCAGCAAAACCAAGAGGTTGTGACTGAGAGTTGAGTTTAAAATTAAAAACACCCACAAAAGACGTGAGGAGGGAGGGAGGAGATTAGAATTTATTAAAGAAGTATTTAAAGACTCAGTGTGGAGTGCTACATATTTGAGAGATGTAGGAGAATGTGGTGATGAGGAAGATAGTGTTTCAGTATGTTTTGTTCTTCTGTTAGCATCAACATTTGTAGCAAAGTGAGAAAGAAATTACTATTGTTAAGGAAACTGAGAAAGAGGAGCTTTAGTGTCCCAACAGATGGTCTTGAGGCACAGAGGTATTGTCCAAACATTTATGTAAAGCAGCTGAGCAGGAGCTGCTTAGTCTGACAGTCATAAACACTGTGATAGGAAAATCATTAAATCTTTTCATTTTGCATTTCATAGGTATAGCTTTTTTGCACAGGTAGAAGTCTGAAATGAAAACCCTTCCCCAGTGCCTTCAGGAATACACCCTGAGTAGTCAGCAGAAGTTCCCTGTGACACTATGCCCAAAATATGTGGTGTGCTTGTTTCTGGTGAGCCGGTTGTTCCACGGGTGAAGTCATTTAGAACCTTGCAGAATAAAGAAATGACAATTTAATATTACAATTTATATTATTTCATATTGAAATCAATGTTTTTATTGTGTATAAAATGCAGAATGAAGAAAATGTAGACCCACCTCAGACCTACAGCTCTTCCCTCTCAACACCAGAATACTCTGCACCTGTGGACTCTTCCCTTTTGTACACACCGTGGTCTGTGTGTGGAGATGACAACAAGCAGTCTGC